CACACCCCATATGGATGTTGGTTTGGTCATCACTGGAGGATTTGTAAATCTCAGGAATAAAAATCAGAAATTGAATGTTTTTGATAAATCACAGGTGGACAGAAGTGATGTTTTTCATACTTGTATGTTGTATACTCTGCATCATCAAAAAGATTAGGAGACAGTGAAAACAGAGAATTAAAAAAATGACAATAAAAATGCAAACTTCTTCCAAGTTTCCCATTTCTCAGTTTACCACGCCAACCTGCTTTCAAATAGATTTCTGTTCCACGTATGTTTTCTTTCTGGGAAAAATGCATATTGTACAAATAATGATTTTTTTTTTTGCTTGAATATCCTCACTGTTATGGAATTGCACTGCATGATTTTAAAACTGAAGCTGGATGTTCTTTAAATGGTTTTGCATATTTATTCACTGCACACTTGTGAAAGGACATCATAAGAGTATGTGTGTATGTGTATGCACACATTAAAAAAGAAACAACTTGAATTAACTGGGTAAGTGTTCTCCTTTCTGTTGTTAGTTTCTGTGAATATATTTTATCTTTTATGTTCTTTTCACACTTCACTGTTTACAGAAGTTTGCAGAATTCTCACAGTTGTTAAATAAACAAAAAATTATTTGTAAGACACACTCTTGAAGCTTAGTTACAATTACATGAAAACTGCCATTATGAAGTAAAAATTCAACAAAACAAATCCTGGGTGAAAAATAAGTTTTTCTAGTTAGAACTTAAATGTTTATATTTCCTTAATTCCTGTTTTTTTTTTTCTAGTACGGGAGACATCACTGCAACTTATATTTATTAGATTACCTTTTGTGGATCAAGTTGTAGTTGAGTGAAGCACATTGATTCTATTTTGAACAAACAACTTTTCACACAGTACACTCATTTCTCACACTTGCACGCATACACATAATTGAAGCAACATTGACCAAACCCAGCTGTTCATGCAGAAGCATAGGGTTCAATTAAAGTATCTGTGGCCTTGGCCCTGAAGGGGTCCTTTGTACCCTGTGTCATCACATATACATATGCATATACGCATTTTGGTTGTAGTTCAAGCCATGCAGCCAGCTGTTTATGGTCATTCTGCACTGGTGGACTTCTCATGGTGTTCTAATTCTCTATCAGTTGAACATGAATAACAAAAATAAGAGGATGCAAAGGTACAGAATTGGGCTAGGTTTTGAGCTATCTGGTTCTTATTGTTTATGTTTTTTCTGTTAGTTTGTTTTTCCTACAAATATCTTGTTTCTAAGATATTTTAAACCTTTATACCATTTTAAATTTGGCCAATTGTTCAGAATCACCATGGTTGAAAAATTCCTCCAAGATCATCCAGTCCAACTGTCTGCCTATCACCAATATTTCCCACTAAAGCACGTCCCTAGGTACAATGTTTAAATATTTCTTGAACACAATATACCCCATTATAGATATTCAAAGAAAACATATTACCTATGGTCAGATAATCAGGTCTTCTGTATGTGCTGCACTGCTAAGGCAAGATGGACTTGCTAGTGCAATGTACACTGACTGAGGTTGTACTCCGTGTGCTGCTTACTAATTCCCAGAAGAGTCTGGCAGGTGTGATCTTAAATGGAGGGGAAAATATGAGCTTAAAGTAGCTAATGTATCTCAGCCTAGCATTGGAATATCCAACAGAATGTTTCTAAAGCTAAGCTTTTACAAAATGGGTTTGCAGGTCACATTTAATACACACAACTTTTCTTGCAGGTTACAATACTGGGTGGAACTTTACCTCAATCCCTCTGTCAAGCTTGTTTTCTTTCTCTGGAAACTGCATTAGATTGAAGGAGGGGCTTGAGTTTGCTTCTTCTTGCTTTCTGACCTCTCAGGGTTTTCTGTGTTCCATTACCCTTGTAATGCAAGCAAAATTTTAAAAAGTTGGTAAGCAACAAACTTTCTTTTGTGGAGTTACTTTCTCCCTGCCAGCTCAGATGTGTCTTAGTGCCCTTCTTGGCAAGAGTGGCAAAATATCATGATCTCCCTCCACCTGCTCCTTCCTGTCTTCTCTTGTTCTGTATCCATCTGTGCTCTTCTCTAGGACCAGCTGATTTTAAAGACATCAAAATAAAACACTCTACTTTTCTGCATTCCTCTCCCAGCTAGCATTGTCATTGTGCTTAGGTAAAAAACAAAAATAGGTAAAACCAAAAAATGGATAGTTATTGATTTTAAGCAGAGGTACTCCAGAGTTGGATGTGAGAGCATAGGTAAATTTTTGTTAAAACATTTTAGAGTATACAAACTTGATAATAATTTCTTTTTTTGATTGAGGTAACATTTTCTAGAGTAATCAAAGTTGTCTGTGGTGGAAACTGTTTTAATATAAATTAATAACAAAAATAATACGTGGAGTGTATGTGCTGCTTAACATAGGAATTAACATTGCTTTTTCACATCTTTCTAATGTTGTGCTGCGTTTAATTTTCCTAAGTTTCACAAGCCAGTATTCCCACAGTTCTTTACCAGTATGGCTTATTGTTTCTTTTTCCTGGGATTTGTTGTCTGTATCTCACTTCTTTTGATTTCATGTTTTGGCTTGCAAAACCTGGGAATTTTTTTTTTTTTAATAGAACTTTGCCTCTGCTAAAACATGCCTTTTACTTACTGCATTCTTTGTAAGTTCGACATGCTTTGTTATAGGTAAGCTATTTTTCTCTTCTTGTAAGAAGTCAATTAATCAGTTAGATTCCAAATGAGCAGTTTTATCATTTACCTGCTCAGGAAACAAAGTACCAATAGAACCTGAAATAGCAATGTGTGTTTCTATACCACTTAAAATATTTTCAGTGTACTATGTTCTTGTTTACTGTTTTCTGATTGTTCAGACTTGTACATGAATTGACTCAGGCTACCTGTAAGTAGTCTTCTAGCTCTTCTAGAAATGTTCTTCTATATACTAAAAAAAAAAAAAAAAAAAAAAAAAAAAAAAGCCAACAAAACCAATTTAAGCAGGCAGGAGTTGAATCAAACTATTTGTACATGAGAATGGAGTGTTGTTTATTTCAATAGAGCAAGTTATGAAAGTGTATGAAACAACTGGGGACTTGAAAAGGGAATTCATTGTAAAAATGTGCATTTGAATGTTCATTGTACAAGGTAATTCAAACTTATTTACTGTCAGTTCAGTATCATTGTGTTTCTCTTCTCTTATTACAGGTGAGCGTTCTTACAGACCAGGTAGAAGCTCAAGGAGAGAAAATACGGGACTTAGAAATCTGTCTTGAGGGACATCAGTTGAAACTGAATGCTACAGAAGAAATGCTTCAACAGGTAAAGAGCTAGATTGGAAAGGTTTTTGCATAATCTCCTTTGAGAAAGATGAGAACATACATTCTCTGTTTGCCTGCATGTGGGAGTGCCTTTGGTAGCAAGAGAAAACAGAAAAAGAATTGCCTCTTTTTATTGTGTTCTTGCTACTTTGCAAACTACTTTTTTGCAATAAATATTTCTTTGTTTTCCTGTTGCAGAAATGTTTTATTGGCTGGTTGCATAATGCCGTATGTGGCAGCATGTAAAATGAAACTATTGGGTATTGTTTGTACTGTGCTGACGAACTAAATTTGGATGTGGTTGAGTAACTGGTTAGACAGGTTATGAGTACGTACTGTATGTAGCAGTTACAGAATTAAGTTGTCTTACTTAAATAGTTTCAGTTTTTCTATATCTTTAAAGCTGAACAATTAGTGCATTGAAATGAATTATTGTATCAAAGTTGGTTCTTTAATGATTTTTGCTTTATTTAGGAGTGTTTCCTTTATTTTTGAAAAATCAAAAAGTATATGAAGATACTTTTCATTATTTCAATCAGTAATTTCAAGCTACGTGGTTTAAGTCATTGCTGTTGTTTCATGGTATATATTGAGGAGAATGAATGAATAATAAGTGTCTTACATTTCATGTTACTGTGGAGCTGACAAGTCTGTGGACATGAAAGAACTTTCCATGTGCAGTCTTGGGTCTCTATCAAGACAAGTTACTACATATGCAGATAATCTGCTGGTAATACAGTACATGGATATTGAAAATAAATTTAAAACTATAAAAAGCCTTTAAAATCTAGAGCAGGAATGTGCAGGATGTAGTGTTCCATCTGGTAAATGTGTATCCTAAACCTCTTGCAGTTAAAGCTCTTCACCAAAAGAAAACAAAATTGGTCTCACACAACTGTTGCACCCCAAAATGCTTACAACTGAGAAAAGTTTTATGCTTTACTTAAAGGAGGGAGGGGACATTTTAGAAAATATAACCAGCAGATATGTTTAATTTAGATATCTGAAGTGAAATTCAAAGAACAGTAACTATTTGAATTACGGAAATGTTTTCAAACTTCAGGAAGATGGAGTAGAGTGTAGAAAGTTCCTATTTTAATCTAAACGAGATCTTGTTAGCCAAAGGTTTCCAGTGTTCTGTACAAAAGCCCATGGTAGTTAGCAAATAAATGAAAAATATTAATGTTGATGTTACGTTTTTCCAGTTAAAAAAAAAAAAAAAAAAAAAGAAAAAGAAAAAAAAAGCTTCTTTCTGGTCTTTCAAGGGCAATCAAACAGTATTTATTTTTACAGTAAACTAACTTGTTTGTAATAAGAAATAATCATCCAGTCTTAACTATGGGTATAGGTAGTCCTGCTTTCCAGGAAGACTTCTGTTATTCTCTTGAGGTGCATTGTAAATCCAATCTTACTAGGATCTGCTTGTTTTTTTAGAATCTATTGAACTACATTGATTCTTACCTTTGTGAACTTAAGTCAACTGCTGCTTCTAAATGGGAAAATGAATGAAAATAATTGCCTTTCATTGCCATGTGTTTAATGTGTGTTTGGTTTTTTTTTTATATATAACTAGGCTAACTGCTATATGTAGTATAAGTAGGCACAGCATATTTACTTATTTGGGAAGCAGTATACATGAGTCCAGGATAGCCATATCTTTTGAATTTGGGAACTATAAGAAATGTTACAAAATTCTGCCCCCAAAATGCTGCACTAAAGACTAATGCACTTTATTCAGATAATTTAGTGAAGTTACATAACAAGATATTTGGTGGTACCAGAACAGAAGGGTATGCAACGCTCCCCTGCAAAATAGTTTTTGCTAAATCTATGCTAGCAGAGACTTGCCCACTTTGTACGGGTGGGGTTACTGGCTAAAATCCTTCTGGCTTATGATTTATGCAGTTGTTTTGAACTCAGCTACAAAGCTATCATGGCGACTTTTCAAATGCAGCTAGAACAAACTTTATCTGAATTACATAAAACGGTTGTTCAGCATTTAGAGTGGGCATCTTAAATGCTGAATAGCAGCAACAGAGATTGCAGGTTCTTTGGGAGAAATTGTGATTCTTCATCTCTCTAAGAGGAAGGAGCAATAGTTCTTACTGAAAGCACAGAGGAAATTAGTTGATATCATCTAGCAGTTTCCTACTAAAAAAAAAAAAAGCTTCATTGTTCTGTTCTTTTTCTTGTCCTTGTCCATGTGCTTCTACAACTTTTTTTGTATTCACTTTCATTATTTTTCATAATTTTGACCCAGTGACTGGATAGAAAGCAGGGAGGGTTATAAAAAGAAGAGGATGTTCGGCTTTTTTTTGTTGTGTTTTTTTCTTCTGTGTTACTGAATTGAACCAGCTCACAGAAGAAGTCAAGGTAGGTGTGGATGCTCATTTGACCTAGCTGTTTATAGAGCTGCAGCTGAAGAAAATATCACCTGTATGTTTCCCTGACTTGTAATACTACAGTATCAAACTCAACATTTTGCTTACATAAGAATACTTGCACTACTACAGACTCTAAGAAACAACGTTTTCTGTCTTGAAGACATTTGCAATTTCTTTAAAACAATGTAGGACTGTCTTGTGAAAGTTAATGGCAAAACTTGATACATTCTTAGGTATCCTTGTATTATGCTGTAAGAAAAATGTTTCCTTGTCCTTCAGTCATACTCAAAGATAAGAGACAACTTTCTGGAGGCTGTCTGGGAACAAGACCCCAGTTTGATCTCTGTGAGTTACCTTCCAATTTTGCCATCAAGTCTTACCATCAGGCTTGTAAAAGATATGGAACTGCTGTGTGAATTGTTAGCTCCCTTGCACCTTAGATAGAGAAGAATTTGTCTCTAATAATAAAACACAATCCTATTTCTAGAATTATCTTAAAAAAAAATACTTATACTATGACAATCCATTTCTAATATATTTGTACTGTATACAAATTGTTGAACGTGATTGGAAAGCAAAAGTAAATTTTGCTCTATAAAGTAGCTTATATTGGCCCATATCCGAAAGAACCAGCCATGCATGATGTAAATGCACCGGTGCTTTGAAATTAGTGTTGTTGCTCTTGTCAGTTGTGCTAGTTCATTTTGAAAAGTCTGCACTTACAGATTTCACTTCCACAGTTTATGTGCATTTGGTATAGTAATTACCACAAGTAAAAACACTCTTTGCTATTTCTGTTCTGCACTTGATTGGTTTAACAGATACTTGTTGCCATTGAAGTTCTATGTTTATTTTGCCAAAATACTGATCTGTGTGGCAGTGTCTGTCTTATATCAGACCTGCACCAAATCCTGAAGGACCGGTCAGATGGCTGCATTGCATAAACCTAATTGTCTTCCATGAAGTAAATTCTGTTGCAGAGTACAAAGGACTTGGCCTTAGGGTTCTTTCTGTCTTAAACACATGGAAACTGAAATTATTAAATGCAAACAGGAGTTAATTTCAGTGCTTTCCTTCTCTCTGATGTAATTTTATGGCCAGCTTCTACCTGGGTGTACATAGCAGGTGAATGTGTGCTAGACAAAGACTTGGTGAGGCACAGTGGAGACTCTTTTTAAAAAACACTGGATTAAAGGAATGCGAGGAGGAGTTATAAAAGAGTAAAAACTTGAATTCAGTGTGTTTTAACATGAACCTATTCTGGTTTTCTGTTGTCTTGTACTCGAAGAAGCAAGAATCCTATCTTTTTTGCCCAGTTTAAATCTGGTATATATCTGTTTGCTTCTCAGGAACTTTGCTGGCTGGCAAGGTTCATTCCTTCAGCTTTCAATTGCCTGAGTTATCTGATCTTAAATGAATTTCAGCACTTGTTTATAACATGCAGTAACTTCTTGCCAGCTGCTGGCTTAGTGTTTCAGAGTTTGAAATGTGTTCTGTGCTGCTCTAGTTAGAAGGCTTGAGATTTTTAGAGCGTGCTCTCAACTGCAGCTTATCTATACAGGTGAGCAATACACCATTTTGCTATTTAACAGCTACAGGCACATCTGATTGTCAGATGTACGCAAAGGACTGTTCAAACCGTCAGTGTGCTGGGAAATTCTTTCTGATGCTTAACTATATAATAGACAAACGATGAATTGGAGGGCTGTAATTCACTCTCGGCTACTGACTTGCACCATTTCATAGCAATTACACACGTACATTGCTGTCAGCTGTGTTTTCAGTTAAATATCTTATTTCCACCACAGCTGACACACAGCACTCAAAAAGTACGGTCTTCTCTGGCAGTGGTTCTTGCTGAATTTTGCTTACCAGGTAGGTGGGTCTGCCTCTCTCTCTCTCTCTCTCTCTCTCTCTCTCTCTCTCTCGACTGCTTTAATGAATATGAGAATTAAGACATTTTTGACTGTTGTATTTTGTACAAGTGCAAAATGGGATTTTGGGGTGCTTTTTGTCCACTTGACTAAAATCTTATTTATGATTTATGAATCAGTGTAGCCTGATCCTTTTTTTCTGTTTTGGAGACTGCTAAATATTCTGTAATTTACTGTGTTTGCAACAGACAGCCTAGAACAGAGCAGTGCTTCTTTCTAAGTTATTTTCTATGATGTTAAATTTAAATGTTAAATGTTAAATGTTAAATTTTATAAGCAGCTTTATGAGAAATACGTATTTCCAAGCCAACAAAATCTGAAAGTGACACATATTACATGCTTCAGTTTCACTGAGAATATTGAAAAAAAAAAAAAAAGCATGATTAAATAAAAAATATACAGTGTGAATTTTAAAAATACAGTTGTTTGGAAGTAGTTTGGCATTGATCCATCTGATGTACACAGATTGCAGGTTCTGCAAAACCATCTTTGTGACTATCCTACTCTAAAGTAGTTTTTTCCTTAATTTTTAAAGTTGATTTTTCAGAAAAAGAGCTACAGGGAAATAAATTATACGTGCAGTACTTACTAAATGAAAAACAAGTAACATGCTTATTATACATAAGGTTTCATAGTATGCATTCTGTTTCTGTTCTATACGTCTGATCTTTAAGATCCTCCTAAAGCTACTACAGCCAAATTACAATTTTCCCTCTCTTACATTATCTTTTTTTTACTTTAAAACCAATAACTTAAATTTGTATTTTCTTTTCTTTCAATTCATATTTATTCTGGATGGCTTCATGTTGCATCTTACCACTGAAATACACTATAATTTCTCTGTAGCAAAATGGGTCACATTCTCTAATGAGTTGTTCTCTCTGAGCATCTGCTTGAAGAGGAAAATAATTGCTTCCAGATGTTCTATCCATTTCAAGAGGGGACAGTTACTTAAAATGGCACTTTCTTTCAAAGCAAAAGTTAGGCACTCTAGATGCAAGATAAATTGTCAGCTGTTTTAAATCAGTGTAAATCCACTGAAAACAAACCAGGGATAGCTAGCTATTTTGTCTATTTTAAGGCAAGAGATTTATGCCAGTTTACACGAGATGAGGATCCAATCGTCCATCTTCAGAACAAACTAAGATTTTGAGTTTAAAAAAATCAATAAATAGAAGCTGCCTTCATGCTCAGTCATCCCAGTTAGCACCTTTACTGTTCACATGGAGCTGTGGAACTCAGGAGAGGACTGAGGTATTACTCTTTGTTGCACAAACAAATTTAATTTAGGAGTCTATTGAAAAACTAAGCATTAATACCAGACAGTACCTCAAAGGAGCTCTGTTGTTGAAAATGTCTAGATGGATGCTGTCTCCTTGACTTATTAAGAAATCTTCCCCTTGCATCATCAAATGCTACATCAATGTCAAAGAAAAAAAAGAGTAGTCTAAATGTTATTTCAGTTCAACAGTGAATAGAGCCTGTCAGTGAGGCTAAAGTCACCCCATCCTGCCAGTCTCTTTGATGTTTTGTCCCTATTTCCATATACAAATTCTCATTTATATCTCAGCTGTATATTAATCTCTGCAAGTCTTCTGTGTTACCAGCTGCACAGAGCCCATTCCAGTCTAGGCTGGAATATTCCTCTGGAATTTGTCCAAGATAGTGGAGAAGTAGTCCTGTATTCCTGGAATGTTAAGGGTTTTTGTTTGTTTGTTTGTTTTATAATTGTTTTTGAAATCATATTAGTAGAGTTTAGCTAGCTCTGGGGTTTCACTAGGTGGCTGATTTTTAGAACTGAATGATCTTGATTGTTACTTAACTTATTCTGTTCAAGGTCAAAAAAAAAAAAAAAAAAAAAAAGGTGGGGGTGGGTTACGTTTGTTTATTTTTCCACCCATACACAAATCCCATTGTCAGTGTCAGCAGGAGTGGGCATGACACTGGGAATAGTGGGTGGCTTAGATAAATGGTGTTGTAATGCAGTTGCGAGTTCAGTACCATTTCTAATTTGGGCAGTATTCCCCAGCAGACTAAAACAATGTACATGTAAAGCAGATTTGGGTTCCAAGTGATCTTTAACGGCATCATTTTTAAAATAAGGTTTGTGGCTTCCTTGGCTCCAAAGGGTGGTAATGCAACACATTACATAGCTTGGTAGAAGGAAGACATGAGAAAAGGGTGCTGATCAAAAGGGCAGCTCCTGAACTCTCAGTAGCATTAGTACAGATCCAGAATAAGTATGCAAATTCTAAATCACTTTCCATGTAATCCAAAGTGGAATCTACTGAAATTTGTCAGTATGCTTAATATGACCAAAACATCAATGTCAGTTATGGATTACCATCTAATTAAAAATACAAAACAAGCTAAAAATTAGTATACATGAAGAATGCTCTAAAAATGCCTTCTATTTTATCACGTTGGCTCATGACATCAGAGGCGGATTTTGGTGGGATGATAGTAGAGGTTGTTGCTGTGTGACAGATGGCAGCAGAGGGACAGTCTGACAGAATGGTGTCTGACATGGAAGTGCAGGAGGAGCACAAGTGTGTTACTGAATTCTTCCATGAAAAAAAATTGGTACTGACTGATGTTTGTCAATACTGGCAGAATGTTTATGGAGATCAAATGGTGGATGTTGGCAAAGTAAGGTGCAGTGGGTGGTGCGTCTGAGCAGCAGCAACAGTGATGTGAAAGACAAGACACATTCTGTGGCTTTGGGAGCAACCTGCCTCTATTCTGAAACCTAAGATCTTTTACAGAAGAAGTTAGGCACTTGGAAAGTTAGGTATTGAATGTTCTGTAAGACTTAAAGTTCTGAATGGATTTCTCATTTTGAAATTAGAGACCAAGAGAGGCAATTTTGGATAGTATGTTCTGGTTTTGGCTTTCTTGGAAACTGAAAGTTGCAATAAAGGTGAATGTGGAATGTTTTCCAAAGACGGTGATATCGTCTCCACCAAGTGTGCCTATTTCTGCAATCTGAAAACTGAGCTCAGGGCACACAAGCATGGTCGGTTGTTTTCTAGCTTATGGTGTTAGTCAGTTTAGACATTGCACTCAGGTTCCATTTATGTCACACCATTTCTCATTCAGTACTGTTCCCTCCAAAGTTGGTATTCTTGTGAAGTTACTAACTGCTATACAGTATTAACTTTTCAAGTACTGTTAGCTTGACAGCAGAAATATTGCTTCCCACTGGTACTCGGTTTTGGTTCAGTGCTTGTGCTTCAGTACATCCTGTGCTGAATAACACGTGATAAAATGTTGTAGAACTTTGCATTATAATACTAAGACATGGCTTAGTCTGAGTGTTTTAGAAAGTAGTCAATCATTCTGTAATGTGTCATCTGAAGGTCTTTATGGCATTATGTAGCACTGTGTTAGTTCAGCCTTAGTACTGTTCTCTGATTTTGTGTTTTGCACAGGGATTGACTCTGTGCCAGACGTTGTGTTGAAGTGAGGAGGAGGACAGTGGTTTAGTGATTAACACAGGAGAACATGTAGGTGAAAATAACTGCAGAGTTTGAGAAACAGAGTTCAAACAGTTCAGAGTATATACAACAGGAGGAGAGGGAGAGAGAAATTTGCTTTCATGTGAACTAGTTGATCACTCTGAACTCTTTTAGCTACTTTTTCTACTTGCAGTGTTAAGCACATTTTGCATGGTAAAGTAGTAGTGATTGTGGCTTTTGAAGAAGAGAACCATTTTGCTTTTGTATTGAAAGTGTAAACAAAGGGGTAGAGACCTATGAGTTTGCCAGCAAATCATGCAGCATTCTGTCAGTGTTTAAATGAAAATAACTTGGGAAAATATTCTGTTTTGCTTTCAGGAGCTGCTAAGTCGAACATCACTAGAGACTCAGAAATTAGATTTAATGGCTGAAGTTTCCGACTTGAAGATTAAGCTTGTTGGCATGGAAAAGGAACAGAGTGAATACGAAGAGAAACAGAACAAAGCTGAGGTGAGCTTCTTGCTTCTTTCTTTTTCATTATTTTTTTGTCCTCTGTCTCTGGTCATACATCTGCTGATCTGGAAACAGCATGCAGTTTCCTCTCGTTCTTAGAGCCCGATCTGTACTCTTGGTCCTGTGAATTCAGTGAGGAATATGATTATGCATTTTTGGGATGTGGTTTCTTTTCCTCTCTCATTATGTTTCAGAGCTTGCTGTTTGGCTTTAATCAAGACACAAAGTCCATTCCAGCAGCATACTGTTTTTTTTTCACTTAACTCTTTCCTTTCCACAGGCATGGCTGTTTGAAGCCATCTTTTTGAATCTATTTCCATGTTTTCTTGACAGAGAAGACGGTAAGTTTAGCAGTATCAGGAATGCTACAGAAAATTGTATGCAGAGGCCCTCAGTAATTTTAATATATTCATCATTGTTGGGAGAGACAGGCAAGGAGCAGGGTATTTTCCTCAAATAATCCCTTTCCCTTGTGTTTACATAACAAATATTTAGTGGGGCGGGGGTTGGAAATCACTTGCACTGGGAGAAATTCTAATCATTTTTCTCCTTTAGAACTGGAAAGTTCGGGATATCAACGCAGCTTTATTTTTCACTGTGTTAGCTAAGGAAGAGAGTATGAAATGGGAATAAAATGAACGTCTATTTTTTTGATGGAGCACAGTTCCATTGAAACCTCTGTGTAGTGAGCAGCAGGTGGGAACTGGAGAGGTAACGGATTATGGAAGACAGTAATTCAGATGAAGTGCCATCTCCTGTAGAGAGACCACATAAACTGGTAGGGTTACCTGGCAGGAAAGGATTAGTAGGGCTGTGGGTTGGCCAAGATTTATGCTTCGGTAACTGAAAAAAGACTGTTCCATGTTGCCTTAAAAGAAACTGTAATACAGGCAGTGTTAGAAAACAGATTGCTCTCTGTAATGTTAATAGTCATTTATCAAGTATTCTTCTAAGTAATTTACCTGCAGTGACATAAGTTTGGGTGTGTTTGTTTTTTGACTTAGTTGTCCTCTGAAGTCTTGTTTAGAGATCCAAAGATTGCTTACAGAGAGCATTTTCTGGCAGTTTACAAGCCAGAGAGGCACCAGCTGCTGTTTTTGCTATCCATGGCCTTCTCATGCTCTTTCACCCATAATTATTAGTGTCCTGTGTACGGAAGGCCTGAGTAGTGTCATACTACCTGGAAATCTAAAAAGGTCTGTGCAACATGTACTTGCTTCAGGTGGGAGCCTGTTTTCAGCTGCTATCTTTCTGAGAGGCCTTTAGCACTTCCCATTACATGTTGAGTACCAGGAAGAAGCTGTTTGGATTAGTTCAGGATATCCACAGTCTAATTCCTGGAAAGCAACAAAGCTCTTCAGTGCATTTGCATTGACAGTATTTCTAAGTGCTGAGTAGGCCTAGGGCTGTGATGAAGGTGAGTCTGTGATCTGTGAAATTCTTCTGCTACTGCAGCAGGACGTGTAGCCTACTAGGATGGAAGTTTAGTTTTATTGGTCTGGAAGCTTTGTTGTATTTTTAAGTGATAGGAAATGCCCTCTTGAGATGGAAAAGGATCCTAACCTAATGGAAAAGTTGAGAATCATTGTGTTAAGTATTCTATGAATTATTGATTGCCCCGAGAAGTGATTAGATTTCTGGCCTATTGAAAGTTGCAAGCCTACATATACAAAGCAAGGAAAATGAGTCTTATAACTAAAACTGGAAGAAATAAAAAGCATTTTCAGTTTGCTTGTTGAACTCTTTTATACATTTATTTCAGATTGCCATAAGTAAATGGTAATCCAATTTTTCAAGATAAACAGGGGGTTCAACTGAATGCTTACTTGAGTTCTAATGCTTTACTCTATCAACTTCAGCTCCCTTTACTACTATCTTTTTTTAATTATATTTTGTTAATTCTCAATACAACCATAGTTTCAAACATCACAGTGAAATTTATTATTATATTTTCTTAATACAATTGGACTGCAAATGCTGCTTGTGTTTCATGCCTTTAGTGTCATTTGAAATTCATTCTGAGCCTTCAGTGCCTCGCTATGACTTTCAAGTGAGTAATCTATTCTTAAGTAAGCAAAGAATCTGGGGTAACCTAATTTCTTGGGTGACACTGTTCTCCAAACTGATAGTGGCTGAATGAAATTAATCTTCCTGTAATTGTATCTCTGAGTGTTGTGGCTACTTCAACAGGCTCTTTCAGTGTCTAATATGTCAAATGAAATTGCAATTAATACTTTAATACAAGTGGGACGAAGCTGTCAGTGACAGAGCCTTTCTCTTATGTGCAGTTGGCTGGTTGCTGCTTTCAAAACTAAGATTAGGATTGACAGAGGTGAGCAGAACAGTGATTTCATAGTTTTCTTACTATCAGAATAGTACTGCTTTCACCCTACCACGTGTTACAGAGGCATCTTGAACTCAAAAAATGTTAAGGTGCCCATTAATTATAATTTATGGTTAACTGCCATTTCTAAGTATGATAGCAAGTTAATAAAAGTTTAAAACAAGATGTGAAATTGTGAAACAAGTCAGCTAAAACATACTTCCTTTGTACTCTTAATTTTGTGTCAGTTCATTTCACGGCAGCTGTTTCCAGTCACATAGAATTTATCCATATAATTATTTTTCTGGTTGGTTTGAGGAGAAACAAAGCAAATTAAGATATTTTTCTAAATATTAATGAGTCTTAATCAGATTCATTTCTGTTTATCTTATGCAGCTGTGGTTTAGTTTTAGTTATAGTTAGCAGCAAAGAGTTTGAGTATCTGGCTCTCAAAGGTATTAATTTCATGTCTGAATGCCACTTGTCTTTGGCTCTTCAAATGCACATGCTAAATTTATAATGGCATTTAGTTATAACACAGGAGCCAGGAGAATAGCTACTTGTAAGTGGATGGTCTCACTCCTGCCTTTGTCACTTGAATTCCCTGTATGTGGAATAATGTTGTCTTGTTTGCTGTGAAGGTTTCTGAGATCCCACCCGAGGGCATTTGTGTAACTTCTCTTACCTGAGGAAACTTAGAAATCTTGGAAATATGTTTCCTCAGTGTTTGCAAGTTTTGAGAGAGCAACACGATCAAATGATTATCTGCAGCCCAAGTGATCAAGTGATTATCTGCAGCTTGCCTTACCCAAACATGGGCAATAGAGATGACCTATTGCTACCAGGAGGCCTCAAGAATAAGTGCCCATTTCAACTTGCTAACAGCCCTTATTCTCTCCTCCTATATTTTATTTTAATGTGGTAAGTTTTGTGGGGTTTGGTTTTTTTGTGCTGAGGATCTGAAGTTTGCTATATGCTGTTGGAAATCGTGTTATGGCTGTTGTGTCGACACTTCTGATATAAATATCTAGTGCACAATTACTTGCCATTTCAGAGAAATTTGAGTCAGCAAGCCAAGTAATTCTTTCTGGTCTTTGACAAAACAGCACTGTGCAGTGCAGTTGATTGTGCTGCCTCAACTGAATCAAGTTTAAGACAGGGTTTTTAATATTAATAATTTATCATGCCGTGAAAGAATCTCAAAAAAGGAGACATTTCTATCTGGAAACTGAAAACAACTGTGAGACATACATTGCCTCTGGAGTTAGGCTTATGGAAAAGATTAAGGTATCCCAGTGAAGAATAAAGTTTTCTGCCACTTGTATGCTGCCAGGTGTTCCCTGAAGGAAGTCTGTGTAGATGCAGAGAGTTTCCCATTGCCTTTGTGAACATGAGGTAGAAAAGTGGCAGCAGTAGTTGTGATTCTGAACTCTCACTGTGCTACAACCAGAGCAATTACCAGTCTGTGCATCTTGTTTGACCAGTGGCTTAACAAATTGTTTAATGGCGCTTACTGACAAAGACAAGTGGTGCTTAAAAGAAAGGAGATAGATATGTACCACAAGGACTCTGCTCCTCAGTGAGGTGTCTGAGTGTGGAAATGACGACAGAAGAGAAACAAATTCAAAGCATGGAAGGTGGAAAGATTGTGGATAGCATTTAAATTATACATGCAGCAAGTATGAAGAGTGTTCTGCTTTGCAGTGCTCTGCTAAGAGGATGGATTAGCTGCAGGGATGCACTCCTCACCAATATCCTGTGTTGCTGCGAAGTGGCAGTACTGAAAATACAAGGGATGTAGTTTCGTCTAGGTGAGCTCATATGAAATAAACTATCTTTTTCTTAACTGAATAGCCCTGGAAAAGCATCTCAGCTTATAAAACACTGGGTGCTAGAGAGTTGGTGTGCTGAAGCCAAGTGCACCAACTAAACTTCTTGGGTTTTTTTAAGGAGTTTAATCCTCATTTAGGTGTGTAAAAGATTTGTTGGATGAGAAAAGTTGAGCATCAAATGTTGTGAGCCTGACTCAGAGTGATATGCAGGAAGGGAAATATTTGCAGCTGCTATTCTGAATTTCATTTTAAGCACAGTGCTTTTCAAAAATATTTAATAGATGTAAATTTATTTTAGCTAACTTACATGTAAGCTTTTGAAAGAGAATCTTTATGAATATTTGAAGTAGTCTGTGGTTGCTGGTGCAGCTTGAGATGGAATAATTCAATACTTAACCTGGTTGAAGCAGTGCCCGGTTCTTGCAGTTTATGCTCTGGCACTGTGCAGCTTTGAAGTTACTGAATCAGCAGAGTTGGGATTACAACAAGACTTATATGTATGATAATGAAGAATAAAAATGTGTATATACACTTTGTCTTTTGTCCATTAAAAACTTCTTTACTCCTGTGGGAGATAGATTAATCTCATTAAATTTAATTCATTTGGAAGAAATGAGAAGTCATGTATTGGTCTGGAACATAGATTCTGTTCTATTTAATCTGTCGTTCTATACAAAGCCCATTCTCGGGTTTTACCAGAAAGGGAACACGTTGTCTTTTTAGGTTGCCTCTGATATTCTTTCTGTATTTATCTGTGCTGCAGCTGTACCAATACTTTCTTTGCATATTGTCTGCATTTTTATTTCTCACCTGTCTTTTTTTGTTATTCCCATATTTTCAGTCGGTAGTGAACCTGATAAGTGAGCTACAGGAGCAGATGTGTAGACTGCAGCTGGAAATTAATAGTAGAATCCAAGAAAGAAAATCCCAAGATAGGAAATCCAGTGTGACACCTAATGGTCCTCAGTCTAGCCCAACATCAGTGGTAGAGACTGTCAGCCAGAAGAATTGCTCTCAGTGTGATGTACAAGAGGTATACATTAGCAGCAGCCTGTGTATTGCCTCTTCTCTTGCAGAAACTAAATTATGTTAACCAGGGTTATGTTGTGAATTAGTGACATTAATCATTCTGACTCTCATGAGTAGGAGTAAGAGAGAGGTGGTTGTCAAACTTACTAAAACAAAACCAAAAAAACCTAGACACCTTGCCCCCTTATCTTGTACCCAGTCACTAGGACAAATTTGGTCATCATTGCACTCTTATCTACATAAACACAGATATCCATAAGAACCATCACCTCTCTCAGGTTTTATATTATTTGCATCTTATTTGTAGGCCTATGCTACTGGTGTGGTTTTGTTGGTTGGCTTGGTTTTCCCCTTCTCAGCCTTTTTTATTTTTCCCTTCGCTGAGATTTGTTTGCTGTGTAGCATGGTTTGATAGTTTGTTAACTTTCCTCACAATAACATCATTCTAACCAGTCCTCTGAATGCTGATCATTATTCATTTCTGCATATCTAAAAGCTTAACGCAGGTATAAAATGCAGATTCAGGTAAGTCTATTTGAAGTATATCCTATAAAAACTTATCTCCCTGTGCCTGTAACATAGCAGATCTGACACATTTTTACTGATTCTGACATCAGCAGTTATGAGAAAAGCGTTCTTAAATTTACTTTGTAGATCCTAGCTGTTTTTGGTCAAAATCATGCCAGATGTCAAAACAAAAGCTATTGTGCATAAACTGCTTAAAATGAAGGTTGAATGATATTGATCTGGCTTTAAAAAGTCCATTTTTAATATTCACAATGATCATTAGTAAGATAATACTGTGGTTGTGTGATGCATGTAGTATACAAGATTCCAAAACGTGGCTTTGCTTCCGAATTTTTCCATTCTTCAGTTCATTGGTCTCATCGAAGTTCTATTGAGAATCACAGAATCGTATAATGGCCTGGGTTGAAAAGGACCACAACAATCATGTAGTTTCAACCCCCCTGCTATGTGCAGGGTTGCCGACCAACAGACCAGGCTGCCCGGAGCCACATCCAGCCTGGCCTTGAATGCCTGCAGGGATGGGGCATCCACAGCCTCCTTGGGCAACCTGTTCCAGTGCGTCACTGTGTTGTCCTCAAGAGTGAACACTAAGATATGGCTGGTGGAAAGGGAGAAGGGAAAATTTGTCAGAGGAATAGACAAGAGTTTGCTGCAGTTCTGTTCTGCAGCAACTCTGTTTGCCAGGTTGCAATCATCCATGCAGAAAGTATTATATTGATAGTCATATACACACACTATACGTGTGTGGCATTCAGTGCCAGAAAACAAGCATTATGTAATCTGAATTGTTTTTCTTGGTAAGTAGCTTAAGTGTTCCTTTGGACTGTCGCTTTAATAGAAATAACTCACGTTAGAGCTTCATATGCTTCTGCTTGTTTTCTGAAATGGTGGCAAAAGCAAACAAGTGAAAAAGCAATAGTTAATGCTGCATGAGACTGTAGTTGTGGGCTCATTTTCTCCAAGGTCAGCTTTCCCCACGTTAGCTGTCTTCCTTAATAGGACCAAGAAATTTGCTCATAATTTCTGATAGAGAATTAGAGAAAACTGTTCCTTAGAATAATCTCTCTTTTCAAAATAGTTGTTATCTGGCTAGACGAAACCACGGCTTTTATATCTGATAATTCAGTGTTCATTACTACATGGTTAGTACATGATCTTTAATCCATAACCATGGAGAATTAATATCTGCCTGAGTAATCTTATATTTATCTGTTTTTCCTTTGCAGGGTTTGCTACAGGAACTCAGACACCTCAAAATTAAAGTGGAAGAACTGGAAAATGAAAGAAATCAATATGAGTGGAAATTAAAGGCAACTAAAGTAAGGAGAATGCTTAGCACTTACTAATGACAGACTTACTTCAGTTAGAAAGGGATATACGCACTTCCTGATGATCATCATTTACTTTTGTGACAGTGTCAATGCCTACTATAAAACAGGGTTTCCTTGGTCTGTGTAGTAAGTATTTTGGAGAACAGTTTTTGTATCTTCTTTTTGTGCCTTTTGCTCCCTCCTCCCTGCAGTTTCCAGTCTCCTACACCTTCGTTTTTTTGGGGGGTTTTTTGGTGTTTTTTTTTTTTTGTTTGTTTTGTTTTTTGTTTTTTAAAGGCATTTTGTTCTGGGAAGATACCTGCTTTGTGTAATGGTGACAAGTCTCTGCAGAATATGCTTTCTAGACTGAAGAAACATGCAAAATTGGATGAGTATTGCTTACCATGGAATTTTATTAGAGGTTGTGGATGCCCAATCCCTAGAGGTGTTCAAGATCAGATTGGATGGGGCCCTGAGCAACCTGGTTTAGTATTAAATAGGGATATTGGCGGCCCTGCCTGTGGAAGGGGGTTGGACATTCATGATCCTCGATGTCCCTTCCATTCTGTGATTATTAGATGTTAAACCCAGAATACACCAGTAGACCACGTACTTTGACTTTGTGACGGTATCAGAGAGCATGTGTATCTGCTTACACCTGTGTTGACCTTAACTTCTGGAAAGCTGTTGTATTCAATCTAGAGGAACTTAATATGACACACTTGACCATTTTTGCCAGTAGTTTTTTTTTCTGGTTGAACATTCTGGTTGTTAAACAGTTACACTTTAGTTACTTTGAATTTTTAGCCCTTTTTTAGATCAAAGGAACACTTCTGTCATCATGTTACCTTTCATACATGCAGTGCTATAATCACTGTTTGTATGAATGACTGACTTTTCTGAGTGGCTGTATCGTGGAAGAACATTTTAAATTATTAAACTGAGTTGTGATTGTAATAGCTGAAAGCTTGATCCAGAAATGACACATAGCTGTTTTCTGTATTAACATTTCTTTTGAGAATTCTTAGATGAATATTGATGTTTTGCTCTAATTTTAATTATTATTTATTTATTAAGTTAAAAGCTCTTATATCCATGAAAATGTCTCCTCTGACGTGTCAGCAATGAACAGTCTTGAGGAAAATATTTTGTTAAGCAGCATGTGGTCAGCTGCCAAGACACATGAAGATTAAGGGTAGAAACAGAGCAAAAATAACAATGAATAGTAACACTTATTGAGAAGTTACAGAATAGGAAGGGAGAAAAAGAGTACAGGGAAAAAGAGAGGAAGAAGAAAAATAATTACAGAGATGACAGGAATGAAAAATTTAAAAGAAAAGAGAATAATTAAGAGAACTATGAGGTCAAATAGACCAGCAGAGGCGTATCCAAATCTGGTATTAAGAGGTCTGCAGCTTTGTCTTTCTGTTGCTTCAGCTTCTTAGATGAGGAATTGGAGTATTTCCATGACTGGATATAAAAAGCACATTAGTCACTGGGAAGTGTAGGAGCCCCTCAGAGATGCAACAAGGCAGATTTCTCTGTTCCACAAGGGATTGCAGGCAGGATTGTGGTGAACTCTTCCTGCCATCCAGCTGCCTCCTTCTTTCTTGGTTTAAAAACAGAAAGTTTGTGTTAGTCCATATTTTAGTCTATATTTTATCCTGTCCAGCTGATGTTCGGTGTCTTCCATTTTTCTGCCTTTATTTTAATTATTTTAATATTTTGAAAGACTAGTCATACATTAGTGGATTTTAATTATTTTCTTTAAACTAGAAGCAAGTTCTTGATGCTTTTGCTGGTGGAAATGCAATGATTCAATGTAAAGGACTACAGGCTGCTGAAGAAGATCTTAACTTAGTTACTGATGTAGTAAAGGATGCTATTGACAGTTTTTATCATAAACAGAAAAAAGGGATGAGTCACTGTAGTTTAAGCTGAAGAATCACTTTTCCCAAGTTATATGAAGTAGTAACTAGAATAAAAAACAATATATGAAAAAAAAAAATGCTTTGCTGTCTTATAGTGGTCTTCATGCAAAACTCAAGAGTTGCCCTATCACAGTCAATATTGCATGATCAGCAGTGTAGTATTGAAAGCTTTCTTGTTGTGTTGTATTTTCTTTACATACATGAATCCTTGAAAATGTTACCTGTCTCACAATCCTCTCTTCTCTGAGAGCTTATTGTACTGTAAAATGGATCTTCTGTGAAAGGAATTGTAGAAGAACACCAGGTTGTATAGTGTTTATGAAATGTCCCAAACTGGGAAAAGAACTTAATTCAAAGTAGTGTTATGTTTACAAATCTTCTAGTTCATGAGAAAAAAATCACAGAGAACACATAATCATGTTATTCTGAATTTGTTTTACTCTCAGGCTGAGATAGCCCAGCTTCAGGAGCAATTAGCTCTCAAAGATGCAGAAATTGAACGCTTACAATGTCAGCTATCTAGGACCTCATCACATAGCGAAGTTGCAGAAAGAGGTAAGAGGAGGGGAATTCCACTGAAATTTTTTCAACTGGGATTCTATTTATAATTTCAAAGAGTTGTTCTTGTTCAAAAGGAATATATATTTTTGTGTATACCTTCAAAGTTACTTTGAGAAATCTTGACAGTTGCCATTTTTTAAGACAAACAGTCTCAATAGTAGCGAGGTATAATGTTGGAATGATTTAACATTCTGAAACATCTGTTAATGCACATCTTTCCTTTGTTCTGGACCGTGTCACAGATTTCTGTGTTAAGTCTGCATACTTGATAGAGGTGAATAACAGATTGATCAGTTTGCTTACCCTTTGGTCACAACCAGTGATGCCACAGTCTTCCTACAGCTTCTGTCAGTTGTGAGCTTTATGACATTAGTGAACTTTTTCATCCACAATACTGACTCTTAGTGCAGGATTATCTGTGTGCAGGTTTACCATGGTGTATCAGATAGCTGCACTAAATTTTTTGTGGATGTTACCTATTGTTTACAAATAGTGCCTTTGTTTGAGACTTCAGGAGGTTTGTGCTCCCTCATTCTTAGTGCTCACTTGACTGTTGTTTATTCGGAAGCAGTGACAGTCCTGTTCTGTGAAACCTTAACATGTACCTAGCGCTGATTTTATTCATTTGCAGAGTTTGTGCATGTGAAATACTGCATGTCTAACTAGATATTACTTCCTCTAACAACACTGTATTGTGGGCAGACTCTCCTACTAATAGAATGTTGTATTTTCTATGAGGTTCTCAAGTTGTGATATTTCAAGGGACAGGTAGCTGTATGCCAACAAGTTGAGAGCTCAGCAACTTTCAGCTTCTAGCAGTGTGTCTTGTCCAGTTCACGCTGAAGATAGGTGCAATTCAGCTTGAATCCAGTGGGAGAAGAGTCTGTACAGATTCTTCATGCTACCTTAAGGAAAACACTTAGACTATATTTGAAAAGAGACAGTATGCAGCAGTAATAATGCTTTTGAAAAAAATTGTAACAATTCATCAGATTTTCAGGAGTCTTCTCAAATAAAGTAGAAAAATAATGTTCTTTCTAGTATACTAGAATGTGTATTCTCATTAAAATGCAAACCTTATCTAATCTGTGCTTTTTCTGTATATTTTTCTATATATTTTATTTGACTCCCACCATTTACCACCATAGAGGAAGTTTATAAGAGAAGGCTAAAAAAAAACCGTAAGCCTTGCAATTCACTTGTGGCTTTTTCTTACTGTTCCTTCCACACAAATTGTAACTCAAATGCATTCTGCAGCAGTAATTCAATGTCTGTTTAGATTTGACAGTCTAATTCTAATATACATGAGAAATTGCTTTTATTGCTTGCTGCAAGCAGACAGCTACTTACCTTGTTCAGTAAGATTTCACTTCAGAAAATAAATCAAAAGCTCACTAATCAGATGGCTGGAGACTTCAAACTGACATTGTCAAGGTTAACAAAGCCTACACTTCACCTTTACCTCTTTTTATAATTCCTGAGAAGATGGCTTCAGTTGAAAGCCTTTTTCCTCAAAGGAAAGCATTTGAGTTTGTTTGTCTGTTTTTAATCAGAGCAGTAAATTAAAATAAAAATAAAAATCAGTCTGAATGAAAATCTGTTTCCATAGTTGGTATTCTTATAAATATATTCTAAGTAAAGTTTGCTTTGTGTGCTTAACAATACCTCAACACCAGGTCTTTTTGAAGTCTATGTTATGAGCTGAAATGAGCAGCACTGTGATTTGTAACGCCTTCTTAAACATTTTCCAATTGCTTGCCCACTGTCTGCTGGCTTCAGTTTTTGATTTGGCTGTCTGAGCATGCCTTGTGTTGTTAAGTGTTCTTTTTTGAAAGAGAAATGTTGCGAAGTTCCTTTACGTGTTTTAAAATGTAATCATTACAAAGTGCCTATTTCTCAGAATCACTACCAGAGAAAACAATTACAGTTCTGGAAAATGATTGATTACGTTTTATACCAACATTTAGTTGTAGAACATTTTAAACTGTTTTTTTATGCTGTTGACTTCTTCCTCACTCTGACTTCATGCCTTCCACATCTGTTTTTCATAGTGTTCTGTGAAACAAATGGGTCTGTTCTAATGTCAACGCAGTTCTGTCTCCATCATGTATACTTGTTTCAAAGCAGGTTGGAACTGATACGAATATTATCTAAAGAAAAAAACAAAGGATGTGGTTCAGCAAAGTTGGATGATGTCATTAAGTACTTGTCAGTTTTCAGAAAGTTTCAGTCACTGAGTACAACATTTTTAATAACCTCTGAATCTGTATTGTACTGCTATCTTGTGTAAGGCAATTATGTATTACTTCTTGATGCAGACATTAACTCAGTTATTTACACTGAGACATTTTCAGAAAAAATATTTACAAATTTTCCTTATTAGAGAATATGAAAATAATTATTGCTATTTTTCAAGTCTCAAAGAAGGATCTTGAATGACTTCTCATAAACTGGATAATATTTTTCTGACATGGAATATAATTAATTTTCAGTCATGTTTACTTTTATTTCCATAAATACAGAACAGCAAACACCCTCTCATTTTTGCAAAATAAGTTTCATTGTTTCTTTTTTTTTCTCTTACGGGAATTTGGGAATATGAAATCTTCCCAAGCATTGTGTAGACTGTTACAAGCAAACCCAGCATGTTCACATTCCGTGGTGCTTTAAATAGTTCAGCTTTTCAAAAGCTTTAAATTAAAAGTAATTTACATGGCTTGGGTTACTTGTAAGAACATAAGAGAGAGTATTGCAAAATAGATACCGTTTAGATTAAATATAGAAAGAATTTTTCTGATCACATTTTTAGATCAAGAAGTACAACGGTTGAAGATAGGAATGGAATCATTACTGGCTGCAAATGAAGAAAAGGTGAGAAAATAATCTTCTTTCTATGTAACAAAGGTGAAATTATAATTTTGAATCTGTGTAAAGATCTGAATAACTTGCTTCCCTTAATTATGATAGTGCCCTGGTTTTTGGATTATCCCATGAGACTGTGCCAGAAGGTTGTTTTTAATAGTAAGCATGGCTGACCTTGCTAACTTGTCACAGAACTTGCTAGGTACATGGGATTCCTGAGAAGAGCAGAAAGCAAAGCAAAGCCTGTAATGAGCAAAATCTCTTGTTTTCTGCTAGAGCGAGAAAGGCTCTAAGGTTTGCTTATCTCACAGAATCACAGAATTGTAGGGGATGGAAGGGATCATTGAGACCAACACCCCTGACAAAGCAGGTTCCCTACACCAGGTCGCACAGGTAGCTCTTAGTCTTTCAAACTTGATCTGAACTGCAATGGTATGCCCAGATCAGATTGTGATATAAAAAGAAAGTAAAATCTTTTAATAAAATGTGGCCATGTTTAAAATAAGGATGAGTTTAAAAGCAAACGAAACAAAAAAAAAGAGGTGTGAGGAGTAATAAAAAACTAGGGGATGCAAAATTAAACCCACTGAAATAGCAAATATGCCTTTGGTCTCTCTAACCTCTATGCTGTTAGTCCATTAATTGGGCAACTCAAGTGCAAGACCTTCAGGTACCACTGACTTGATTACATAAAATGTTCTTTATTTTTGTAGTACTTTTTCCTTGCTTAAATTGAAAAAATTTTAATTCTTGTTTTATGATAACAAACCAGGTAATTAGCTTTTTCTTTGATGGTGACACCTTCATATATAATGAAGGTGTAATGACAATAACATACATCCCTAAAAAACAGTAAATGGGGGATCTGACAGAGCAATGTTAATTCTGGAGAGCATCAGTGAGACAGTATCTAGTATCTCAAACACTAAAAAAGCTAGAATTTACATCTAGAAAATAAGATGTAGCATCATTGCTTTGCAAAATTGTTCCAAGTTTGTCTAAGATTTTAACATTTGAAGGGAACATAAGGTGGTGTTTTTATGAGCTAATACCTGGATATACTCACAGGGAAACAAAGGTGATTTATTTGGATAATGTAGTGTTTAAATTAGTCGTCAGATGGTTTACCCACAGCCTCATAAATATTCAGTGCAGAGCTATTACGCTCAGTAATGTTGCAAAATAAAGTATTCTTCCTAAAGGGAGTATCTCTCAACAGCTTTTTCAATAACTCTAAGAATGGTTTCTTGTGTTAATTATGGCAGAAAATATGCAACTAAATTTCATTTAATGCTATTCACAGGACCGGCGAATAGAGGAGTTAACGCTACTGCTAAGCCAGTACAGGAGGGTCAAGGAGATAATGATTGCAGCTCAAGGTAGAATGTCTTGTGAATAATTTCCTGGTTCTGAGTGTTTTAAAAACTGCATCCACTATGACTACTATTTGTTGGCTTTAAAATATACATGAATAATTCTACATAGTTCATATAGTTCATTATCCATACCTTTGTATCGTGTTGGAGGGCTGTAAGAGTAGAGAGAGCGACATTATTGCTTGAGCAGGCTTATGTGTTTTTGTCTCTAGCTGGTAGATGTTGCCTTCCTGGTTTTTAGCCTGTGTTCACTGCAAAAAAAACAAACAAACAAATAAATAAATAAAAATCAAGGCTATTTGAGGATTTAGTTACAACATTAATATTCAGAGAAACTGAATTCCGTAAGACTTTACCTAAATTTTGTTCAACATCAGTTACTAGTAATTTCCTTCTTGGGCCTAATTTTGCTGCTATTTATGTTTATCATTCAGAATCATAGAATATGAAAGAATGATGGTTGATGAGATGACTGCTCTGGTTGTTTAGCTGTGTGCACTGCTCATCTGTCAGGTCTGAAGTTCTGCAGTTCTACTCATTATGTGTCAAGGCAATCCAAAGTCAGCACTGCTTTCCTTAAAATACTTTTCTATACACCTCAATGGGGCAACGGGCTTTGACTGCAGAACACCTACATCCATATAATGAAGGGCTGTAGATGTTGCATGAGAAGGAATTATAGAAGAAAGGGTGAAGAAGACTGAGCAGAATGCTTGTGCTGACAAATAATTTGTTGACACACGCAAGCAATTAGGATAGTTCAGTCAAGTTAGCTAAAGGCACAAGTTTAAAGTAGTCTTGCTAGATTGCATTATATCCCCTTCTGGAATCTGTGATTCAAAATTAAAATGACACTTTAATCATCTCCTGCAGATGAATTAAAGTATACAGATAGGCCTTATGTTTGCATGATGCTTTATTTCTATGGCCATTAGGTAACAAACAGCAAGTTCTTACAGTGTAAAGTGAAACCAGGAGAACTTAGCAGATGATGAACTTTTAATGGCATCCGATATTGAGATTTCTACACTCCCATTCAGTTCAGGAATGGCAGCAGTGATTAGCCACCAGCCATCCATCTGGGAGTACTTTTCCCTTCATGTCATGCTTTTTATACTTGTGTTCATCACAAGGAATCTGTTATGAGGATGCTTTTCTTCTTTGTACATGACATATTGCTAAAAAGAGCTGCAATTAATACATTAAGTTTTGCTGCCCTTTCCCTCCTCTTACATTTGACAAGAATAAAAACCTTGCTTCACTCCAAGATACCCAGAAAAAAAAAACCGTTTACATGTTTATTCTCAAACTGAGAATAGGACACTGCTTTATGATACATCTGACATCTAACATAATTCCTATAAAGTGACATCGTGTGAGAAAGAAAATGGTACCAACTTGATCTTGCCTCAGAACATGAAACTGTGAGTTAGCGTGGTTCACAATCAGCTCATGTATTCTGAGCAGAGCACAACAGATGACTGTGTTGTATTGTTGCTCAAATACAAATCACCTTGCTTACAAGTCAGAGCCCTAAGGAGGCATGTAGAGTGAAGTGGCTGAGGTTGAACTATGTGCATCAGATGAAGTCAAAAAGTGGAATTTAGAAACTAGTATTTAGATAGCCTAAATACAGTCCTAAATGTTGTATTTTTACCTGTTTATCTCCATTTCTGCTTTTAATGCTTGCAGGCTCTTCGGACAGAATTGTCTCTGGTGGCAGTGAAGAAGAACTTGAGGCAACTTTAAGGAAGTTGAATGTTTTGAATAATCCTCAAGGAGAAGTATTTAAAGCAGAGGTACTTAGTAAAGATGTCTTAGAAGCAGGTTCTGCTGTAAATTCAAGTTGTTTGTCTTGGTCTCTCTGTTGTAGCAGAGGTAATGCAGACACGGGTTTGGACCTTGCTAAATTTTTGTGCCTGCTGGTAATCTTTAGAATTTGATGGAATCTCTAAAGGCCACCTGGTCCAACTCCCTTGCAGTGAACAGGGGCACCCACTGCTAGGTGGAATTGTTCAGAGCCCCATCCAGCATGGCCTTGAGTGTCTCCAGGGACGGGGCTTACACCACAGCTTTGGGCAACCTGTGGCAGTGCCTCACCACCCTCACTGTAGGTTCAGATGAAGACACCAGAGTTACAGGCATGATACTTCTATTTTGCATAGGCCTCTGCAGGAGAATTGTCACCAGCTTTGCTATCTCCAGTGACGCACAAAACTACGGAAATCAGGCAAGGCTATTCTTACTTTTTGTGCAGGTTGTCTGAAGTCTACATTATTTAATCTGTTTGAATGTTGCATCTAGTCCTCTCTGCACTTCAACAACTTTTTTCCTTCCATTTTAAAATTCCTTTTTAAAAGCCCTTAATGTTGCATGGTGTTTGCAGAGCTTTATTAACATCTACTTTTGCTTCAGAGCTTCTAAAAAGTCATTTATGGTTTGAACTTGGTCACCATACTTGTTGCCTTTCATTGTTGACTAAAAGTCTTTTTCACGTTTCTGACTTCATCTATGTCAGCACTATGTTTTAAACCCAGTACTGTGAGTTTTAGGGTACAAACAAATCTATTTGTGAGTTATCTGCTAGACAAAGAAATTGTGATATACAACAACTGTCATGAGAGAGTTATGATGTAACATATTATATTTATTATGGTCTTTTTGCCTCTTATTATTTTAAGGGTTCCACAGAAAAAAAAGTCAAGTAGCTTAGAAGACTTGCAGAGTGAATCCCTGGAAAAGGTTGGTTTATTTGTACTCAGAATTTCTATGATAAAAGTTTTAATTTAAGAGAATTTAAATTAATTTAAGAGAAGTATAACTATAATGATAATGAGGAGCCATTCTGTTGAACTGTATAACATTTTGTTTAAGAAAGGTGTTTTTAAGATAATTTTGATTTCCTGTTTGCTGAAATGTTAAGACAACAGAACTTGAAAGCAATCAAAAAGTATTGAGAATGGGCATGCATTTTTACATAGGATTTCTTTTTGAGTGTTTGCACGTAACTATGAGTGTTACTCCCTAACTTTGACTTCTGATATAAATGGCATTATTGAAGATGACAGCAATGCTGTTTTCATTAAAAACAGGAGCACTGTTGTTAATTCTATGGCTTAATTCCAGAATTAAGACTTCACAATTTACAAAATCTCCTTATGCTATGGTCCAGAGGTTTTATTTTTTGTCGTGTACACCGAAGCTTCTTCTACACATAAAATCTGTGAAACTATTATTGACATTTTCTGTACAAAAATTAGGCTTAACACGAATTATGCATACTTAGTAATGCCATTTAAAAAGGATAATAACCACATTCCCTAGTAATATGATTGTTTTCCTACTTCAAATTTCATTAAATTTGTTCTTAAATGTCTAAAAACGATAATCACCAAATAAAATGTTTGAAATTTATGTTGCATTCATTTGAGTGTGGTCGCACACAGGACCGACAGAATGACAACTAACACTTTACTCCATGTGGAATTTATGAAGGTCTGCTTTCTTTTCATAACTTTTAAATTATTTTTGTCTTAAGTTGAAAAACCTTTGTCATTATGATAAGATCAGGCTGAAATCAAAGATATGGCACAACCATAGCCAGTGAGCCCCATGTTTATCAGGGCATTTAAATTATGTGCCCTCATTTAGGTGCGAGGTTCTTAGTGAAACAGACCTCCCTATGCACATAAGTGATTGACTAAATATGAATTAGTCACAACTTAGCCAAAACAAAGATTATTTTGCTGACTCAGCCCAGAATTTGCTCCTTTCACTGAGTCCAGTGGAACTTGTGCTAACGACACCATTTCTGGAGTTGTTTTTTGTACAAGATTCAAATTTTAATTACATCCAGCAGTAAGATGAAACATTCTGGTGATTCTGACCTCCTCATGCTGTTTTGTTTGGTTTTTTTTTATCACTTCATTTTTACCACAGCTCTTTTTTTATGGTTTCAGCTGGATACATACAGCATTGCCTATGTTCTCTTATGTCAGTCACTTTCACATTGTTTCAAGTGTTATGTGAATGTCACATTCCCAGCTCAATGCACGTCCAATGGAAACCCTCAGAAGCCCCGAAATACTGAAATCCTTTTAAAAGCAGAACGTAAACTGGGCACAAATTTTGTAACCTTTTGAACCTATGCTTTTAATATTAAATGCATAATGAAAATGAGGAGATATCAGACCTTGTAACATATTGTCATAGCATTAAATAGCATCACTATAGTAATCAAGTACAGTTGATGTTGTGTGTATGTATATTAATACTAACATTTGTCTGTTGCTTTTTTCCATAAAACTTTGAAATTACTCTCCCTGCAACTCCGTAGTATGTAGATGGAAAACCAGTACAGCCTGTTGTAGAACAAGAGGTATATTAACTGTAAACTCTTTTAACATTTATCTGCTGTGATGTCGTGGCTGTGTTTTCACTTCATTTTCCCTTTTAAAATGTTTGTAAAGTCCAGCTACCTGACAAAATTTGAAAGTGGGGGTAAGGATTGAAGAGTTGTTTGGGTTTTGGTAGTGGTTTTTTTTTTTTCTTTTTTCTGTGTGATGGTGGTGATGTTTTTTATTCAACCAAGCTTTTTGGGTATCTAAGGTTGGAAGTCAGTCAGCATCAGGAAACACAGTGCTAATCTTTGATAAAAGTAGTATGAAGTTTCTCTACTCATGTAATCTTTGGTACAAGCTGGGACAGTTGTGAAACTGCAGTTGGCAAAACAGGAGCAGGGGTCAGACACGCAGTCCCTGAAACTGAGGAATCTGCTCTGTGATTATAGAATCACTGAAATAACTTCTGGCCTTGAAACAAGAATGGATAGACCAGTAATTATGTATTATCCTGTCCCAGACAAGTTTGATCGAGGTGTTCCAAAACAGTTAAATGATGTTACTAAATAGGGGAATACTAATTGTTTTTGTGCTGCTTTCAAATCACATGTTGAATGTACACCTCTGCCATAATTGGAGGTGCAGGCTCATTTCTTTTCCGGCAAAAAAACTCTCTATTCCTGTAACTTAGCTTTTACAAAAGTTAAATTTCTGTATCCTGAATTCATTGTTGATTCTTTGTATGTCATTAATACTGATGGGCAAAATGTCTGACCAAATTTGAGTTATCAAAATGCCTTTGGCTTAAACTGAGACACATCTGTAAGGCCAAAACACAGGCAGTTAGGTGAAGTGTAAAGGAAAATGTGACAGCAAAGAATGGGCTGGGAAATGACTAAATGCATTTATGCTGCTATCAAAGTTAGCCTTGGAAGGACAGAATTGTTATGTGGTGTCAGGGTCCTGAAGGAAGCGGAGGTGGCTAGAAAAATATTTATGAGGAAACTAGGAAATATTCAGTATATATTATTGTTTAATATAATTTAAAGTCTGGGTGAAGGGGAAAAGAAGGGAAGAGAAGGCTGGGTCTTACCTAGAACTTCTTGGCAGCTGATTATTAGACTTAAATTGAGTATCTGTAAAAAGGACCATGAAGGGTGGTGGTGTCATTTAGAACTGTAAACTGCAAAATGCTTTTTCTAAACTTTCAAATTATTGTGTGCCAGACTGTAAATGCAATGAGTGATTATTTTTTTTTCTCCTCTTAAAAAACCAAATCTGCAGAGTAAGCCACTTGTGAAAGGCAGCAAATATCAAACTTTGCCAGGAAAACTTCCTCGACCCACGCAGAATGGAGACCAGGGGACATATAATGAGTCAAATGCACCTGACACGAATGACACTGAGTACAATAGCATCCAGGGCCTGAGTATGTATCTGTATCTGAGTATGTATCTGTGCCTCTCAGAGGCAGCATGGGGGTTACGGAAGAGGCAAAAAAGCAAACCAACAAGGGGAAATAGCACACTGTGTAACCTGCTGTGTTACATGAATGGACTGAGCTGTTCAGATGATTCAGTGAGGAAAGCTCTGCTCCTTTAACAATATATAAGTATTTTAGATAAGTTTGCTAGAGAATAAAGGCTGGATTTACTTTAGAGCATTTGTTTCTTTTTGCACCAGATGTTATAATTTGCAAATACCAGTGGCAGTGTAATGAAGAGACTTTTTGTTGGTTTAGTGGTTTTTTTTTTTTTTTTTGGAAGGTAGCGTTCTTAAAAGCCAAAAAATCTATTACTGAAAATTAGAATTTTTGGTGATCCAAACATATTCGTATTAGGAATAAAGTCCTCTTTTTTGTCTACTTGCAGTGATCCTGAGCTTGTTGATGCCTTTCTTAAAAAACAAGGAAACAAAACCGCACATTTATGCTAGACTGTATGTTAAAAAAGAAAAGTCTCCCAGTTCCCTTCTCGCTACATTTTAATGTGTGACATTTTACAGCATAACCAACAGTAATGTACACATTTCAGGGAAAAATCTGTTTTTTTTTAATTGTTGTGGGGTCACAGCTGTTTGCTGGTTTGTGGATTTTTTTGGTGATGGTTTTTTTCATTTGTTTGGTAAGGTCACATGGTCCTAAGACCACTAAGTAGTATAGCTTAAAGATTTCAATAGATTGCTGGTGGATTGTTTTGTTGGTTTTTGTTGTTTTCTTTTTTTTTTTTTCTGTAGTTTTTCTGTGATCACAAGGTTGTAGATCCTCATTAATAGTTAGCAGATAATTTATTGGCCATGCTATTAGGTCTTTTACATGCAGGATCAAAGGATGGGGAATCTTGTAAAGCAGAATGTTATTCTAGAAACAAGCAATGAGTTCTTAAAAGCACTGAATTACCAGAATCTGGTTTGTTTCTTCCACATGCAGTATATTATACTTCCAGTTCTGTATTTCACAGAAATTTGATATGGTTTTAGACATTGCTTTATTTCAGTAGTATATGCTTGATGTGTTACAGTTGCCAAAGAATTGATGAAATATAAATGATCATTCCTATCTCTTTGACTGGTCCAGGATTCCTGGGGCTTGTGCACACCAATGCACAATCCCTTTGATGTCAAGCATAACAGCTTCTTTTCTTTTTGTTTCTGCTTTTAATAGCTTACTACTTACTCTAGCTTACTACTAGCTTACCACTTTGCTCTTCTGTAACTTTATTTTGCTGGTGATTTATATCTTCTTTGCTTCTTCATCTGACTTTCTGCTTCTTGGGACTGGAAGATCGCATCAGGAGTGTCAGTGCACCCGTGCTAGGTATCGTATCTAAACAAGATGAAACTTTTAATGTGAATTTTGCTGCTTATTTTTTCCTTTCCTTTTTCCCTCCCTTCGTCTTCTCTGTAAAATACTGACACTGTGTGGGCAATCCAGACTGAACTCCTTAAGTGTAATACTGAAATGAAAGAAAATCTTTAGCTGTATAGCATTCAGATGGGATTTTTTTTTTTTTTAAAGATATTTATTCTTGGTCTTATTTTACTTTCACTAAGTCAACAGTAAAATTCCCACTGATTTTGATGGATGAATTTTGGTATTAAAAATAGGAAACACAACAGCAGATCAAGATCAGGAATTAAGGTTTTAAAATACACTGAAATTACAATATTATAATACCCTTTACTTGTATCAAAGGTACAACTACTCTTCTTTTTTTTTTTTAAGATTGTTTTTATACAAGAACATTTTTATAGGTATCTGTACTTTATTATATTTTTTTAATTTAAGTATTAGTCTGCCGTATAACAACTCTGTCACATTTTGTACTAATTATTGACAATTATTGTTGTTAACCCAGGAGAAACAGAGAATATGGACGGTACAGTAGTTTCAGATGATCTTTCACCTCTTTCTTTGGGAATGGATTCAGGTCCACAGTCTCCACTGTCTCCAGAAAACAGAAAGAGTCCAAAAGGAATCAAGAAAATCTGGGGAAAGTAAGATAATGTTTTTTAGTTCCTCATCACAGCATTTCAAACTGAGAATTCATTTGGTTCTCATGAAAAGATACAGCAAGAGTAAAATAAAATTCAGGAAGAGGAGGGAAAGCAGCTCTCTGATTGTATGGGTAGTTGTGTCTCTTTGTATACACGGCTGGAGGAAAGTGGAGGGAAAGGTTCAGAGTGCCGTGCTATTGGAAGAAATAACATGTTCTCCTGTGTAATTATGCTGACAGTTGAGAATACCAAGTTTTACTGTGTGCCTTTTATCTACTTCAGAACTGCAGCCATTTACAAGTCTGACCTCTGTGAATTATTATTTGAGTTGAAGGGTCATGGCTGCTTTGCAAAGCTTTTCTTTCTTTTCTGAGATAAGTCTAGACAGTGTTTGCCTGCTCCTTCATCAGCTGCTGCCTGAATCAGATGTTTGTGCTCTACAGGGAGATTAATACAGTTTCCAGCTGTCATTATAGTTTCCGTATGAAACACTTTGCTGCTGGACACTAACAGTACTGTCTTGGCACTCTTGTTTTGAAAGAATAAGAAGAACTCAGTCTGGCAACTTCCCTGCAGACGATCTGGGTTTGGCAGAGTTTCGAAGGGGTGGTCTCCGTGCAACAGCTGGACCTCGGTTATCCAGATCAAAGGAAACCAAAGGCCAAAAAAAGTAACATTTTTTTTCTTTTTCTTTTTTTTTTTTTAACACAGATTATTATATGGTATTGTTAAATATACTGAACGGTAAAATGTTCCTTTTGTGAAATATGCATTAACATACTTAATTACACATGGAATTCTACAACTGGAAAGAATTTCTCTGGTAGAAAGCGTAACCCAAGCGGTTTGCTTATCTGCACTCCCTCAACTGCAGGTAGCAGCAAAAAAATGTCTTTAGAAAATTTCTCATCATCTCCTGTAGGAATATCTGCAGACATGAAGATTCAGCAATTACCTCTTTCTGTCCTTTCCCATTTCTATTTGAAACTTTTATCCTCTTCTTGCCCTGCTGCAAATGACCAGAAAAAGAAGCTGGGCAGTCAAATTAAGAGGATACTCACACCACAGCATGTATTGCAAGAATGGCTGCTAGAGCTGATTACTGCACAGAATAAAGTGTGCTAGAAACTGGCCTGTAGTATCTCCTCTAGTTTGCGATGGTCTCTCATAATTTCCATCATCTTTCCTTTATGAATTTCAAAGAGTTCTTTTATTTTTCAGTGACTACAATGCTCCATTTGCTCAGTGGAGTACTGAAAGAGTTTGTAATTGGCTTGAGGACTTTGGTCTTGGGCAGTACGTCATTTTTGCCCGGCAGTGGGTGACTTCAGGCCATACACTGTTAACTGCAACACCTCAGGACATGGAAAAGGTAATATTTGTACCTGTTTCACTTAAGCAAACTCCAGTTGCTTCTGTATAACTAGGCCCCTACCAATAATAGGCAGTTCTACATTTTTGAAATGTTTTCATAGATGTTTAATGAGATGAAGAGGGTCAGAGGCAAAGCAAACTATTTGTTAATGGTTATTATTACAGGAAATGGGAATAAAGCATCCACTGCACAGGAAGAAATTAGTTTTGGCCATTAAATCAATAAACACAAAACAAGATGAGAAGTCTGCACAACTCGATCATATCTGGGTAACGCGTAAGTGAAAAATTCTTCAGAAAATTTTGTGTTTCTTTACTATAGGGAAATAGCAGTCAAAAAACAGAAGTATTTTCAGATCAATCATCAGATGAATTTTTCTCTCCGATAGACTGTATGGTCTTTTGGCACAATCTCAAGTGTATAACAGCACAGGGTGGAAAATTTAATAAATATCATGTAATAATCTCATGATGGCATCCACATTTCACAAATTGTTCCACAACTTTCCTTCAGTCTGAACAGTAGAGTTCCCATGGAAAGTTCATACTATAAAACTGCCTATTTGAATGTTCAGAACAACACAAAAATCATCATTCCATGAAATAACTTGTCCTGTTTAAACTTAGCACTCTTAAAAAGATGGCTGGTGACTGCTTAAACATGCACGTGATTCAGGCAGCCCATCCTTCTTGAGGGGGAAGGAATACAAATAGGGGTGCGAGGTCTCGGTCTAGCAAGGGCTAAATTACACTGCAGAAAGTACATACTTAAAATACAGCAGAGGTACTGTTGACAAAGCTGGCTGTTGGCTGCTGGAAGGTTCCCAATAAGAGGCTGTCCTTTGGAAAGTGAATAGGTAGAATGAGCTACTGGAGTCTCTCAGGGGAAGCTGGCTTCATTCTCACTGATACAAATTTGGGTACACCATTGTTCTTCTATCTACAGGCTGGCTTGATGATATTGGTTTACCTCAGTACAAAGACCAGTTTCACGAATCCAGAGTTGATGGGAGAATGTTGCAGTACTTAACTGTGGTAAGCTAAAATCTTTTTTTGCCAAACTCTGAATTTCAGAGTGAGCAAAGAATTACAAGGTTTTTTTTTGTTTTTTTTTGGTTTGTTTTTTTTTTTGCAAACCAGAAGCAGTGCAGGTAGGAATTTCTATGTACTGTTTAGTGCAAGATTACCTGTTTTATGCACCTTAGGACTAGTAATACAGTGTTACAGTTGACTTCTGCAAGACGTTTCTCTTTCAATATCATACAAAATAATTGATGGTAAAATGACCTATTTTACATACAGCTTCTGGAATGTTTTGTTTGCCTCACTAAGTTATCAACAACATTAGGTAAATTAAAGGTAAAGAACAAATCCAGTAACTTGTACAGCTCTCATCAAATTAGCAGCAAACAATACAATACATATACCCATTAGGTTTACTAACAGAAACATAGAATGGCCTGGGTTGAAAGGGACCACAATGATCATCTAGTTTCAACCCCCCTGCTATGTGCAGGGTCACCAACCAGCAGACCAGGCTGCCCAGAGCCACATCCAGCCTGAACTTACATGCCTCCAGGGATGGGGCATCCACAGCCTCCTTGGGCAACCTGTTCAGTGCATCACCACCCTCTGAGTGAAAAACTTTCTCCTAAAGGAAGTTAGCTGTACAGCTTCCCTGCCCAGGTTTAGATAAATGTTCTTGTATTTTCATCACATCACAGTAACATAATTTAGCAGTAGTCAAAAACAGAACCATGTCTAAGCTGCTTGCAGAACCTTTGCCACAGAAGTATGATCTCTACTGGTCCATGCCAAGTATGAGTTGCTAGCTTCTGTGATCCCACTGCAGCATGATCAAAAACTGTCCATGAGCCTTGGTTTTATTTAACTGGCTATAAACTCTCTTCCCATTTTTAACCATGTTAATATGGTACAATACTATAAACCAGAAACTACATACAAAGCTTGAAATCTTTCTTCTTGGCAAAAGTACTATTTTTGAATGTATTCTGTGCTGCTTAAAAGACTCTCTCCTTTACAGAACGACCTTCTCTTTCTAAAAGTCACCAGTCAGCTGCATCATCTGAGTATTAAGTGTGCCATTCATGTGCTGCACATCAACAGTTTTAACCCCCACTGTCTACGCAGACGACCAGTTGAGGAGGTAAAAGTATGTTTAAGTAACTTCATTTATGCAAGCATTAATTACTCTGTTATTATTACTCCATGAACAATAATACCTCAATCACAGCTTTTAGGGAATTGCCTCTAAATCAGAAGCTGCATTGCATTCCTGTTCTGGAAAATAACATGTCTTCTCTGATAGTAAAAACCTGCTCAGTTCACAAGTGATTGAGCTACTTACTTAGTTGAATCTTATGCATCTTTCTTTTAAAATTACTTTCTCAGTTATGTTAATTCAACTTTTGAGCGAATTATTTGAAATGCTCTTTTTTGGCTGCCTTAATTGAATTATAAAAGACTGCATATTGTTTTCACTCTACCTACCAGAGCTTATTCTTAGTGATACTATGACAGCCTTGTTAATAATGCTCTTCTCAAAATGTTTGGGTTTTTTTACATTTAGCATGGGTACTCTTATTTTAGAATTTGATGCTGTACATAGGTTTAATCTGTCCTAGACTAATACATACCACCAGATTAGAGGATGTTTAAGAGATGCCTTGAACAGAAAGAGGAAATGCTCCTCTGTGTTGAGAAGGGAACAATGTTTTCATCTAAACTCAAGATTCATTTTGTGAACACGCTGTGACAGACCAGGCTGTATTGTCACCATCTTTTCTGGTTACTTGAACAGAGCAATGTTTCACCTTCTGAAGTGGTGCAGTGGTCCAATCACAGAGTGATGGAATGGCTCAGATCAGTTGATTTGGCAGAATATGCACCAAACCTCCGAGGAAGTGGAGTGCACGGTGGCCTCATTGTAAGAATTCTTTTTAACATCCTACTACATATCTATGAAGAATTGACAAGACTGTATTGCAAACCTTACTTTATCTTGTTCTCGTCACGTAGCAAGAAACACAAGTGGACATTTGCAAAATAAAAGCATGATCAGGCATTTTAAAAAGCTTCTGCATCTGTACATATTAATTTTACAAAAGAAAATTTAAATAGCAACGCAACTGTTAAGATATCAATGCTGAGCTGTGTATGCTTAACAGCAACAGCAGTACATTAGAGAACAACAACCTGTACTGTCAGAAAATTACTCTATTGCTGAGTGTTCCTTGGAGCAGTTTTAATAAAATTATGCTAACACCCTGCCACAGGAAATAACTGTTTTGAACTCACATTTGTCTTGCCTGAAAAGAGTTTTTCTGATCCAAAATACAACTTGTAGCTTAGAAAAGCCAAGAGTTCTGAAATACTGTGATGCTGATGTGCTGCAGATTTTTTGAAAAAAATAAATAGAAAAAAAATTGTACTAAGATTAAGTTTGTTTTTAGAATAATAATACAGTAGTAAAAAAAAAAAAAAAAAAAAAAAAAAAAGAGCTCAAAAATCCCCAAAGCAACCCTGTTGATGATAAATACAATTTGGCATTTGTCTGGTTACACTCTGCATTTTTTAATGTCTAACTCCACACATTTCCTATTCAAACCTAGTGAAAGTCGTAATACTACTGACTTAAAAATGCCTAATGTGGACAGCTGGAATGAAGAAATCCTTCTGCTAAGGACCATAATGATTTACTATTGTAAATATTTAACCATATTATTAAAAAAAAAAACAAAACCCTATTTTAATAGATTCTTGAACCTCGCTTCAACGGTGACACACTGGCAATGCTGCTGAATATTCCACCTCAGAAGACCCTACTGCGACGCCACCTAACAACCAATTTTAATGTATTAATTGGGCCAGAGACACAGCAAGAAAAAAGGGACATAACGGAGTCAACAGCATACACACCTCTGACCACCACTGCCAAAGTTCGGGTACGAGCTGCTTTTCAAAACAAGATATCACAGCATCTCAGCCTTACTACTTCACTTCTCATAAAGACAATACAGAACTTGCATATGTGAGTGGGGAAAGATCTGTTCTAGAAGCAGTGCTACATTGTTCTTAACTCTAGATGCCAAGGCATTTAATTTGCAGTTATCTTTTAAAATTTGTTTCTGAAATGAGCATGCAATCTCCTCTTTTCTTAGAAGGGAACTTACTTAAACTTATTTAAAATGAACTGTAACTCCCCACTTTGTAAACAATTCAATGTATATAGTTCTGAATCTATCTATTTGAAGAATTACAGTACCTAAGTAAATAAAAAGGAAAGGATATTGAATGTTTAAAGAATAACCTTATTTTTCATGTTTAATCCTTGCTTTCTTTTTATTTTAGCCAAAGAAACTTGGATTTTCACATTTTGGAAATTTAAGAAAAAAGAAATTTGATGAATCAACGGACTATGTTTGTCCTATGGATACAAACCCAGGTGCTACAAATGGTACTCAGAAGAACTACACTGGATACAAAGGCCTTAGTCCACTCACTGATAGGGAACTGGATCAGGTGGGACAAACAGACTGATGCCATTCTCATCTCATCCTCTTCCTGCATTCCAAAGCTTGCAAATAATCAAATGTTAGCATATAACAGTATTTGCTGTATCTGCATGAACTCATTGAGAAAGTACTGGCTATGGACACTTGAAAGAGTTCTATACTAAGAATGTCAAGGTGTGTTTGATTTTTTTTTTGGTTTTTTTTTTTCCATCAACATAACAATGAACTCATTCATCTTCAAGCCCTTTTTCAGGAACCTGACACCTTTACACTACCACAGTCAGTGTATTTTGGCAATTAAGGTAGAGGCTGCAGTAAACAGAAGACTTTTGTACTTCCGGCTTTCATAAACTGAGTATGGCACACACCTTTTTTCTTTATATGGGCAGTTTTTAATGTGATAAGTTTATTTGGACTAATTTGTACAGAACTATCGAGTTATATATTAAAGTACAACTGGATCATAGATTTCTAACAGATTAATCAAGGATTCCAACTGCATTATTTCATTATGTACATGGGAAGTAGTTAGGCTTAAACAGTAGACATGGAAACAATGGCCTCAGTAATGAACAAAATTATTAATAAACCAACACTTAAATAATTCACTTTTGTCATTTAGTAGTGAACTGCTTAATGAAACTGTGTCCAGACATTGCATAAATGATGAAAATTAAAACCCACCAAACTCTACTCTACTTTGCTCTTGTGTAAAGGAATGTAAACCCTGAAAAACGGAGCTACCAGAGGCTTGCGTGGACTTGACAACATGCAAGACCCACAGAGAGGCAGCTGGGGTACAGCCTTCTAATTCCAGTGACCATAGTGAAACATTTTAAACTCAGTGAGAAAATGGCCACAAAATCGCTAATCCTGTGGAAGTCATTCTGTCATTTGCATGGTTTACTGCATCTAACATCTCATTTGTTTTCATTATCTAACTGTTGTCTTTTTTAGTGTGCACCATAGTAAAAATCCAGAGCTGCTCCTACATGGTGACAGTAGTAAGCCCTGACAATCAAATATACACGCTAATTTAGTACGGATGTCCATTTACACAATTAAGAGTTGAAAGGAAATGCATTAACTCTGAGCTGACAGCTTACAACACAGAGCTATTCAAACGTTACAGAAATATTCTATTTTTCACTAGCAGAGTGGCCTTCAACTTAAGCCTGATTTCTAGTGTGGTCACACAGCAAAACCTCAGTGCCCTAGTACTGATAGCCTTTTTGTGTAAGCAAAGGTGGGATTGTTATTGCTTGCCTATGGAGGCAGTTCTATTACTGGAATTACGTGTTTCATCTTCTGGAAAATATTACTCTTGGCTGATAGTTATTTATGCTATTCCTTTTCTTGTCTAAATTACAGATCAGGTTCCATAAATAAGTTCTCTTAATCAGGATTTAATCCTTTGTTAATGCATTTTCATACACTCTACAGCATGGAGACATTTTTATTCACATGCAACTTGGAAACGTGCTGAAATTAGCTTTTAAAACTACAGCATCTCCCTTTGTCAAGGCAGAGGTACCTCCCCATGATGCATGTACAGTGAATAACATTGCACCTACTGTCTGAATTGAATTAGCTGCTGAATACTTTTACAGATGGAACACTCAGAAGGAACAGTAAAGCAAATAGGGGCTTTTTCTCAAGGCATAAGCAATCTTACGGTATGTACCAATTTTATTCCTTTTGAAGTCACAAATGTAATCTGCTACAACTCAGTGAAATTTGTGTATTGCTAGTGGTGGTTAAGAGTAAGTGGGTCACTACTCTTGTTATGCACCTCCTTTATAGCTTGGCTGCATGCTATATGCATGCATGGACACTCAAAAAAAGAATCACTTTTACTAGAAATTAAGTTTCACTTCAGCATCTTGTAAGTTTTCACCAATTTTATCTCTGTGACACAGTAAGAGGCATCCCTCCCAAGGACTGGCAAAGAGGTAAGACTTGAAGATGTACAAGAGAGAAAATATCACAGGGAAATAAATAACTATGTACTCCTGACTCCATGTTGGTCCATTTTTGTTAAATTAGTTAATTGACTGAAGGTGTATGAACAATGCCACACATCTGTGTGAAAATTTCTACTTTTGCTATTTAAAGCAGCCATTTGGGAGATTCCAATTTAATTTTGCGTGGCTCTAACCCCCTCTGTTGTGAATCTGATCTCATTACAGTTGGATTTCTCTAAACTATAGTTATTTGTCTAAACTATGGACATAGAGTAGACTATGTCTACTTGTTTTAATACTGCTGTGATTTTTTTCAGACAATGTTAAGCCAAGATGAAATGCTAAACGACAGCAGATTTTTAACACCGACATTAGAAGACTGGAGATGATATTTCAGCGTGACCAAGACCACTAATACCTCATGCCTGCCTGGGGCAGGCCAGGAGAAGCCTGATGCTGTGGTACAGAAAAGCTTTACCTCTTTTCCTCTAGTGACACACACCACATAGTATTTAGTATTGCTAGCAGGGCAACACTTCACAGGTAACTCCTCTGCACTCTTTCCACATAATATTATGTAAAAGAGGTGCTGAAAGAAGTGCTACACAGTTGTTTTTTATGCAGAGTCTGGAAAGCCAGTATGTTTTACCCTTATATTTTATCATCTTTTACATGGTATGTTTATGTACTGCTATAGAAAAAGTGTTTTATATATATTTTTTTAATTTTTATAATTAAGTTGTAATGCAGGAATCATTAATATTCTATTATACCACATGGACTAATCAGAGCCACCTAGCAATTCAGATGTGCTGGCAAGCACACCTGTCATGGTTCACTATTACTGCAGTCATGCCAGAGATACTTTGCCATAGAAGGACCCTCCCCCCTTTCACTAGAATATACCCTGCCCTTTTTTGTTGTTCAATAAGCATGGTTTAGAATAGGAAAAATAAAATGTAATTGTATCCAACCAAGCCCTTGCAGGAGAGTGACAATCAAGATGGCTTGTTCACAAATCTTTAGCTAACTCAAAGCACAATCAAAATAACTAATGCAAAATAATTCATGCAAAATATAACTAGAATACTAGGATGATGCTTGCTGTACTCTGCAACAAAATTTTCTGTGTGATTGCTTTAAATTGTAGGCCTTGAAGTGTTGATAGGGCTTTTCCTGTAATTTCCTGTTTTGTCTAAAATGGTTAGTACTGAGGCACATGTGGAAGCATCAGGGTGCTCATAAGCCTTCTGAACAATCCACACAATTCAGAGAGAACACTCAGCATAATACCTGGTTGATATAAGATGCAGCACAGTTTTCAGGAAGACAAGGAATAAGTTATAAGAGCTATAAGAAGTTAAAGCTAATTAAACATATGCCTGTAAACAGCCTTTAGGATTGGAGCTGGTAGTAGAAACTGTGATATTTGCATAAGAACTGGTCATATTATTTTAGACTTTCAGTTCTCCTTTCATTCCAGCTACAGGCAGATTTTCACATAGTGTTTTATTTAGCAGTGGGAAATCAACACTATTGCTCTGTCACATGTAAAACATGACCAGGGCACATCAAGGACTATAGTAAAGCAAACTTGTTTCTTTTGACAAAATAAATCTGTAGCAATCTCATGGAGGTAGGTAAGACAGCAGTACTGTGACAGGGAAATGCAGCTTCTGCCTACTTACGCAAGGGGCAGTTCAGGGGTGAAAGTGTTGTGTTCACAGCTGCAACTGCTTGTGCAATCTGATAGCACATGCCTTTTATGTATTAATAAGGTAATTAATAACTAACACTGTATCTTATACAGAGAAATGCCAAAAAAGAAATCCATCCAACTGGAAAGAAAAGGCTTTTTATGAATATGCATGGTTTGCATTACTTCCTCCTTTCTTGCTGTGAGATGTTGGTTTATCTACTAACATAAGCCCAAGGGTGGGCTACTCCTAGCCACAAACCTTCCAAAATAAATAGGAAATCTCAGGTGCTGTCCAGAGCATGCCCAAAATGTTAAAATTAAGGCTGATTTTTTTTTCAGTCACTGAAGAATTAAGTAAATAAAAATCCAAAGGAACGATACATGAATCTGCACGTGAACAAACTAAACATGCCCCCTCTGCTCTGGCAATGTAGTGCAGTCAGCACTAGTATGGGCATATACTAACAGACACACGAAATACCCTGTCAGATTAACTGATCAGATTCATCCTAGTCATAATACTATAACAACTGCTCTGGCAGGGGCAGCCTTAGTCTCACTGAGCTATTCCAAGCAGCTTTCCCTTCTTTTTTTGAGGGAGTATTTATAACTCACTGTAGTGTTGTGCTAAGCTTGATGTGAATATCTCCTTTTTTAATATAGTAAGAAATCCTAGTTATAACACAGGCATACATGCTTAAACCTTTGACTGTTATGAATAAATTCTGAATATTCTTCTATTACTTCCTGACTGTGGAATGATTCTAACAGAAACAGAGGTAGCTGATCTCTTATCAGTGACAGAATCGCAGTTGTGAATGTCTGTGACTTCCTCTGCATTATTACTACAACTTCGCTAAGTCAAGCTTTAACTACTAAATGGTTTATTTTGCTTCAGAGGAATTAAAATATTTAGTAAGCACAGTTGTTTGCAACTGAAGAATCAAGTCTACTGTCTTTGAGGTTTTTCAGACCTTAAAGCAATTGCAGCATGAACTAATTTCTGAAAATGAATATGCAGTACTGCATGCACTGACGACTAAAAATTCAACGCTACATGGTAAGAATACTCAGAAAAGGTACAGCTGAATGCAAGACCAACTCAGCAAGGCTTACAATAGGAAGGAAGAAGCCGTGCTTTCTCTTAAGCAAAGGGAATGGCCACAACAACAAGCACTCAGGCCATCAGAAAACAGCATGATGTTACAGAATCCTTCTCAATAACTTCCACATGAATGAGAACTACTATTACAGTAATAAGCAATTACATATTACCTAAATTTTGATTAGATGCTTTTTAGTGACATACTGTTGGCATTTTGTTTAAAGTCTTGTAAAGGGCTGCAGAACAGCGTTTTGAGAAAACACTGTTCCTTGTTCTCACCTTCACCAGAATGAATTAATTACTTACAAAGTGCTCACATCCTATTCCAGTTTTTACAGCCCTCTCCTAAATACCGTATCATGTCAACAAACAACTCATTTTATCACTGTCCTGCTTTTCAATTTACACACATTTTTTTCTTAGAACTGCAGGTCTAACATTTCGTATTAATGTATGAATTAGATTGAAAAATAATTTCACATCTCTTAGTAGAGAAAGGTCACTGTGAAGTTAAAACTCACAGAAATTAAACTATGCCATTAAAACACACACACACAAAATTAAGAAATGCTGCACAGTTACATACCAGTTGTTCCTGTAGGAAAATATGCAATACTTACTTAAGAAAAAGAGCTGGATGACATCACTGTTAATAAGAAAATGTCATGCTCTTGGGATAGCCGAGTTTGTCCAGGTTAGGCTGACATGCAAACTGAATCATAGGTGGCGGCCCACACATAAGAATGAGCGTCTCACTGCCAGGAGAAGGGAGGTGGGCTTTAATCATGTCTGCAGTGACAAAGCCAGAACTGTATTTCCAATCTGAAACAAACACATCAAACTATTAATCTGACTCTGCACAGTCTGAAATCTCTTTAAACTGCATATGTTCTTGTCACAAAGTAGCTGAAGCTATGCCACCATCACTGCAAGCAGACAGGGACCCATCTCTCACTTTGCTCAAACCCTGTGGTTCCTTTTAAAGAGGACAGTAAGCACATGGATAACAAGAATCTGGCTGAAAAGGGACTATACAGACTTTCAGACAAGAATGCCTATGAATAAATGACAGCTTTAAACAAATTAGATATCAGCCAGGAATAAACATGAAGAATAAATTAGGCTTTCTTCCAGGAGAGAAAGGTCACCCAGGACAGCAGTACAAGGGCAGATTATTCAGACCTGTGCTACTCAACACATTTGGAAAACTCTAGAAAAGACTGGTAAGGTTACAAACTCGGTGATGACAGCAGTGTTGTTACAAAAGTGAAAAAGAAATGCTAGGTGGTTTCAAGGAGCAGTATCATTGAATACCTCTGCTACTTTAAGTGAACAAAGCATCCTTTTCTTCCCACTATCTCAATGCACAAAGATATGTGCTTTAAACTGATTTATCAACACAAAGATACTGCTGTTATGAAAACAGCAGCAGTTTTCACAAGAGCAAGCATACGTCCAGTGTGTACCAGTAGCCTACCTTGTGGAGGCTTGTCCAGCGTATACCAGAGAGTGACCTGATCAGGATGCCTCTTAGCAATGTCTTCTAGCTCAGCTCTGAGCAATATATCCTTTTCTGTCTGCAAAACGAGACTGCTATTTAGCTCTAAAACACCTTAATATAGCCTCTGCTGTGAGCTTACCTAGCATGCAACAAGACAAATGCAATGGAAACTCATTCAAACTTTCCCTTTGCATGACAGGCTACTATCACTACAGATTAAGAGCTTCCAAATATGAGACTTAATAGTCACCTAAACACAATTCTAAAGATGTCAATCTGAACAACTTCTGAATCACAACTAGCTCCTGTTAACCCTGGTTAACAGAATTAAACAGAACAAAGTCCTGTTTCTTTGCAATCAGTCAAGGAGGAAGATTAGCAGGAGCAACAATCTGTTCACAATTTATTCCAATACAGGAATTACGGAGTATGAATGAAACTATGAGCCATCTTCAAAACAACTGAAATATCACTGAAATTACAACAGCACCATACAGTATTGGTAAATAGTTGCAAATACTTTTCTAATTCACTTTCTCCTTCTTAAATCATTTTAATCCAAGACAGTACAATAAGAACTTATTTAGTAACTACTTTCTGGTCCTATCTATGCTGATCATACTAAATACGCCATCTCAGGTCACATTTTGTCATACACATTCAGCCAAAATTACAGATCAGACAGACACTGAAAGATATGAAGCATGTAGAGCAGTATTTTCTGTGTCACAGCAGCTTCAAAAACTTAAGCCAGCAAAAAAGGCGGGCCATAAAAGGACAAACGGATGCATCAGCACACTTACCTGATTAGCAAAAAGGAGGTAACATTTTGTAGAGTCCTTAGGATCACTTGTGATATGATGGATCAGCTGCAACATAGGGGTTATTCCTGTTCAAAACAAAGCAGTTAAAAATGCAAATATTTCAATCTACATAAAGCTGCACTTACAATATTCTTGCTGACTTCACTTGGTCTTCAGTGGGAGCCTATTTTGCACACTGAATTTCTACTCTGTGCCAAATGCAGAAGTTGAAGGGTTTTTGTTATTTCATATAGATGAAGATTAAAACAAAACCACAGTGCATTTTGGGGCTTTCGTCTTTAGTGGATGTGATAAGAGAACACTGATTTCACCTGCGGGATATTCTCCTAAAATATTTTTTGTCATTGACATTGGAGCTCTGTGTAAAGGGACTTCTCTGAGGTCACACAATAAATTGAGACTAAAACTACAAAGAAGCTGCTAACCCTCGGCACAGAGCTCAAGCTGCCGGAATGCTTCAGTGTCACCAAACACTCATGTATAAAAAGAAATACAAGTTAGATTCTGATCGTAACAGGAGTCAGAAGAGAGGAGATCCAGTAAGTGCACAACTCTTAAAACACACAACTGACTCAACACTTCAAATATGTTCTTTATCCCAGATGGATCCAAACACCAAATACATGCAAGCAGTGTGAAAGAGCAGCTTAGTGCTCATGGAAGCACTCTGCTACCAAAGTATAGCGCATTAGACTCCTCCCAAGCATCCCTGAAGACCGCTTAATTCTCCAGAGTGACATTTGCTGTGATGAGAATAGTTGTACCTGTTCCTCCAGCTATCATCCCCACATGCTTTGCAAACTTCTTCTGTGCTTCAGACTTCTTATCAGGCTTGATCAGAAAGGTACCTAAAAGAAATATTCAAAACCTATAGACACGTTAACTCCTAAACAAAAACAGATACAACTTCCATGGGAATACATTACTACTGCCTACCAATCAATTAGGGCAGATCTGCTGGACATGCTAAATGTGCTCAGCACAGCATTGAGCATAAAGGCTAGAAGCCTTTGTACACTCTTAGCTTCATCTTCCCAGCTACCCAGCATCATTTATGATCGACTCAGGAATTCCCTTATCACTGACTACATCACTCAGCAACTGCAAAAGCTGGTGATAGCTAAAGGTAACCATAGCCTCGACAGAAAAGTTTATTAGGCCACCTTCATCATCTTCATTTACACCATGGATCCAGCCATTTCTGTGTGTCCACTTTCAAAGGAGTTGTATTAAATCAGCATCAAGCAAGATGCCACAAAGATAATCAAATCCTTGCATCCTTTCATCAAGAACTTCATTTCTGTCTTTTGCTTTCATTTAAGGAGATCATTGTGCTGCTTGCAGTCAGTTAGGTGACTGCCTTTACTGTCCTGTGATAAGACCTTGCTGATTTCTGCTCTATGCCTGAGTGCATCGTCACTTTAAAACTGTTACAAAACCAGACAGTTTGTATTCACCCAAGAGAAAAGCCCAGGAGAAGTATCATACATAAAAGACACTGGACATACTCCAATAATCTTTAAAGAAATCTATAACTAGTAACCAGCTCTCCTAGCTACTACTCTTCATAGCAACCAAATCAGAGATGAAAGGAACGTTTGTAAAACATACACCACTCAAGTCCTCTGAGATGTAACTGATTCATCAGTGTATTATTCATTGTAAAAGGCCACGATCCAGGGAAGTGCTGAGCACTGCTTCCCCTGAAGCAGGAATATTAAGTGCACAGCGCCTCTCAGTCAAGATGAATACAAAATCCTTTGGCCTTTTACTAGCATCTTCAAAGATTATTTCTTTGAACAGACGACTTCCTCCCGGCCAGTTCAGACCCAGTTTAATACCTAAATGGAGCTGGCTGGCAGTTAATAAATTATTTAGTAACACTGCCAAGATTTTCAGAGGGCATTTGAGGCTACAACCTGCCATGTATCTGGAACATCTCTCTCCACGTCCATATCCGAGGGATTTCCAGTGCAGCCTTCTTAGTAATACGCAATAGCAGATCTTTCAGATTTAATTACATGGTCCCAGGAGTAAGACAACAACCAGCTATTACTCTGCAAACACTAAGTACTGTTCCCATCATAAGCAACTCTGATGGGCTTTCGGGCAAGATCAGAAAGCGTAGATTTTCTCTGTACTTTTCAAAGTAGTTTCTCTGCAAACCACAGTTTATCAAACGCCTCTGATAATAACTAATTAAGTTCCTCCCTTCTGCTCTCCCAACTTTGTGTCACAGTACCTGGCCCCTTGTAGACAAGCAGTCCATTTGGCCCCCTGAAGTCAATGACATCTCCAATCTTCATGTTGTCTAGGTACTGGGACATCTTCCCACCTTCTGGGAACTTAGGATTCACATTTTTGTAGTAAACCTATAAAAACAAGCATTTCTATGACATCAGCCATTAGCTTTCGTGGAGTCAGAATGATATACTGAAGATCACAGCACTGCAGGTCTGACATTTACCATTTGGAAGAAAGATTGCAACAATTCTTTGTTCAGTTACCTGTCATGCTGTGCAACAGTAAGCAGACTAAGTAAGTAAAACACCCTATGCAAACAGCCAGGCTAGTTAGAACACGTGTCAAGCAGATTATACCCTCCTTTCACCATCTCTCCAACAAGAACCTTACGTTACCCCCATTTTTGTAAGCACGCCTTCTGAAAATAGCATTACTGCATCTTTTCTTGCTGTGAGCTTTCAGCCACATGCTAGCATTTCAGCTTTTCAAGATGCGTGATAAATATTAAGTAGTTAATAACCATTCACTGTATATGTAACATGAAGAACAGAGAGAACAAAGAAGCCCAGATTTTTTGCCTAAGTGCAAAATGTCTTAGAAAACAACTGGAAAATCCAGAAGACCTGGGATCAAATCATCTAGCATCCCTAGTTTATAAGATTTTCCTTGTTTCCTTACCCCATTTTCTCAATAAGACCATTAGCACAACTTCTGATGCTTAAGACATATAATTGCTCTCTCTCTAGGGTCACAAAAGACAGTTCTTACTAACATGTTCCTTCTTTCAGGTATCAGCAGTGAGTAATAATAGCAGCATAAGGCAGCCTGAGGGAGAGCAATTGCTATTTGTTCATTGCAAACAAACAAACAAACAAAAAAAAGCCCACACAAACAAAAACTGAGAAGTTCTTGCAGTACTGCCAGCTCCCTGCTCCATCTCCCTCGCCTCTACTATTTCTCTGTGACATGCAACAGATACACAACTCATTATTTGTGAGCAGGTGGAGTTTGCCATGCAGTCATCCTATCTGAAAGGCAACCAATTAAAATAAACTCTATTTCACTAAAATGAAATAGTTCCCTTCCTTCCAGTAAGCAATTCATCTGTATTAAAAGAAATTAAAATTTACCTTTATAATTAAATCAACATAACCTTTCGTCTCATCACTGGAAACTGGGGTATAGGCTCGGATCACCAGATTGCCATTGATTTTTGCAGAAAGGTAAACGTGTTGGCCTATGGAGAAAGAATTACAATCTAATGAGCTTTTTTATTACCTGGTTTCAAAATATTATTTGGCAAAGACGATAAAACAGAAAAACAAAGCAGAAGCAACAGTGGAGTTAATCTTTACAATCCAAGTGGAAGATAAAACATGTAGCCTTAAGCACTGCATCTAGCTTGGAAAAAGGACCTTTAAAAAGCTGTATAATTCATTATTGTTTTCATGGCACACACATGCACACGTATTCTCAGGCAGTTCACCTTCAAATAAGAGCCAACACAAGAAGCGCATATTTTTCTACAACCACTAGAAATTATGGAACTGTATGTATTATGGAAAGGGTAAATCTCTCTTAGTTCAGTTCCAGGGAGTTCTTGTTATGCAAAGGTTGCTATAGGTAATAAGCAAACGGCCAAGGCTGGAAAGTTTGGCTTTCACCAACTGATGTTATTTTGTGTTATCCTGTGTTGTTATGTATTCACACCAGATCTGTATTGCTGAACAAAAAAAAAAAAAAAACAATCTTCACAGCCATAACTCCCATATTTTTTCTCCAGTTTACACAGCTTGGTTGTAGAGGGTACCTGCCTTGTAGGATGCTCTGTTCTGTATTTAGATTTGGTATTTAGCTAATAAAAACACAGCATTTGCTGCCACCCAGCTTCACAAGCAGCAGCATTGATCTGTACTTAAAAACACAAAGCAGAAGCAGCAGTAGCAGAAAGACTTTCAGCAAAACGATCTTGGTAAAAGTAGGAGGCAGGAATCCAGCCCATACAATTCCAGTATCATATTCCTAATTTCTAATGAATGAACTCCAAATAAAAGGCAGCACGTGCCAAAGCATTTACAATTTGCCAATTTAACATGGTTAGTTCAATTCCATGTCCCATATGACCCTAAAGAGAACCTGAAGAAAGACTGGTGCTTGATCAGGTGCATGCAAGAAGGACATGCCCACAGCACAGAACTGGAACTTATGCATACAGCAAGAAAGCTGACAATACAAACAGGGCTCCATATGCCATATCAGCCAACAACACGGTTCTGCATAAATTACCATTAATTCAAGGTCCAAGGTTCAATGCCATCGCACTTTCAGAGTATGAGAAAGAAGACTGTGCCAATCCTAGTCTGAAATGAAGCTGTACACGTATCTGTGTCAAAGCTCAGTGCATGCACAGAAACAGCTCTGAACATTGCAACATCTTTGATATAAATTTCCACTGGGATGTGCATACAATTGTTACAGTCTTTCCAGGCAGAAGAATTCTATTCCTTATCCATGGGTGTGATTGCATCTGCCAAAAACCTGAGGACACCTGACAAACTCAAGCACGAGAGAAAAGCAGAACAGAAGTGAGTTGTAAAAAGCTCAGACGGGTACCTCTTTTGCCTATATCTTGAGCGGGGTTAATTTCCTCAGACTGGTTCAGTTTCACCTGCATTTCACCTTCTTGTTCTGAACTACACCACACCATGTAACACAAGCAGGACAGAGCACAAAGAAAATCTGAAATGTGACTCTTTGGGAAACCCAGTTGGCGCTTCCTTCTGACATGGCAGCTTCCAGGTGCAGCTCTCAACTCCAGCTGAGCTCTAAATTCCAGCACAGAAACTCAAGAGCTTAACAATCCTCATTCTCAAAAATAGATGTATTTAAATGCTGTAAGTATTTACCTACGGGTAATCCTAAGACATGATCTGGTGAAGGGAGCCCAAACCGGAATTTCTTAGTGTCGTGGCTGATCTCCTATTTAAAAAACACGAAATTCAAAATGAAGCCAACACACCGCTGCTGTTGATTTCAGCTCTACCCCACACTGTGAGTTAGGAGCCCGTTCTTTGTTAGCACGGAGCCAGGAGCCAGCAAGAGCAGCTCAAATAGCTTTGTAAACGAAGTTTAGACAACTCTGAGTTTTAGGATCAAGGAATTGTCCCCTTCAGCTGCACGGCCCCCCTCAGCACCCGCGCTGCCAATGGCCAAAGGTCGGGCAGGGCAGGACAACGCGAGCTGCGGAGCCACTCCGCGGAAGCCTCGGGTTTAACGGAGCTCCAAGACAGGACTTGAAGGCACACAGCGAGGAGCCCGGCCCTCCTGGGAAACCACAGCGCCGGCAGCGACCCACCAGGAACGCCGCTCCGCCCCGCGTAACGCAACCCCGGGCCCCGCCGCCGCTCCACCGCTCACCTCTTTGCCCACCAGCGGCAAGGGGTATTTGGCCTGCGGGTCCCGCAGCGTGACAGGGCGGCCCGGCCCCCGCCCCGCCCCTCTCAGCAGCAGCAGCAGCGCCGTCGCGGCCACCGCGACCAACGCGACGACCGCGGGGATACCCTGCGGGGAGAAGGGCAGCGGTCAGGGAACACCTGGTCCACCCCCCGCGCTCCCCGGCCCCGCTCCGGGCCGCTCACCGAGAACGGCTCCATGGCGGCGGTCACTGCCGACAGGCGCACCGACTCTCCCGCTCTCCGCCCGCCCGCCTGCCTCCGGGCTCCGCCTCGCAGTGCCTCGTGTTCGTACGGCGCTTCCCGTGGCGAGCGCTCACCGCTCTGCTCCTCCCCCGTGCCCAGCAGAACGCAGTGGGCAGCGCGGGGCTTCCGGCCCGCCGCCGCGTGCCGCCGTCTGCCTGCAAAGCGACAGCAGTCAGCTCCTCCAGGCCAGGTAGCGCAGTGCATACTGTCGGCAGACAGTGGGGGGTTCACAACCAAAGATAGCAGCCTTTTGTTTTCATACGGAAACATCCTCCCTGAAGTCTGCAAATTCCCTTCCATGCCATGTTACAAAGAAGACATTTTACACAGAACAATACAAAAGGTGTACGTCCAGGTTTTAAGCACTCCGGGAGCCCTGCTGACATTTTACAGCAGCAGCCTACCTTTGAATTGCAGGGCTCAGGGAGCTCTCCTGCAACCGCTAAGGAATTGACTGGAGGCAGAGATGCCAGCGTGGTCCCTGTACAGGGGGGTTGTAGGCAGGGGTGTACGGGGGGGAAGAGGGGACGGGAACAGGGGCTCCACACTTACATTTCATAAGAATAGCTAAAGGGAGGTGAGGCGGAGATTGAGGAGTGGCCTACTTAGAAAAGGCGGAGATTAATTAATTAAGGAGTGGCTTGCTCGGTGTAGGCGGGACTTGGGAGGGGCTTGCTAGAAACGGGGCAAGGCTTTCGCTTGTCGGTGGTACGACGGGAAGTAGAAAATACCTGGGATTCCAGGTCTAACGCCTTCAGGTAAGAAACCGGACCAATCACTACAAAAGACACAAAAGGACCAAACACTACACTGCACAGGTCCAAGAAGAAGTGAAAAACAAGAAAACATTCGTGGAATTAGTTAACAACAGAACAACCCACTGTCCAGAGCGATTGGGCATTTTTTCAGTTTGCAGTATTATGAGCCTGCATATTGTAAGGTATAAACCTTAAATCTAATAAAACTACCTTACATTCATATTCTCTGTGAGTCTCTGAGTGCTGTTCCACAGGTCAGAATAAAGTGTACAACATTTACACAAGAGTCCAAGCCAAAATACAATCCCACTGCATTAACTCAATTGAAAGCATTGTTTTTAATTTCTTCTATCAGATTTTATTTGCATCCCAAAACAGTTCACGCTTCTTTTATTGATAAAAGATCCTTGAAGTTTTCAATAGCCTAGAAAGATATAACAACAGCAAAATGAGATTACCTGAGAAACCACCAGCAGAAATGCAAAAGGTTGGCGTCATGCAGCCAAGTAAAAATAAGTACTGTAATAATCAAATCAAATACAGGAAGATAGGGCTCCTAACACACATAAGGCATTTTAAGTGATGTTAGCTCTGCATCTATCCATATGTCCATTGCATTCAATAGGGGTGCAGCAGATACCACCTGCAGTTCCCCCATCGCTGCTTTTTCTTGGTTTAGGGTTGGTTTTCTGCACTTTTTAAAAACTAGTTATTTCTTGTATTTGTTTAATAAGCAGAACAACAAACAAACAGAAAAACAACTTCACAGGTACTTTAAGTCCTCCTGTTCCCATTAAGTAAAACAGAACCACATCCAAGAGATGAGGCACCCCAACTTCTAGCAGTTACACTTGATGCATCAGCAAACAGCAACTCCCCCCAGAACCAAACAATAACAAACTTCTACAACGAAAAACCACAAAGGATATTTCCCCTCCTTTCCTTTTCAGGAGTCCCTTCCAAGAGCTCGGAGATGGAACAAGCATACTCTGTCAATAACACAACTATGCCTTATGCATCTTTGAATTCGTCCTCTCACCATGCAGTATTTTCATTCTTGTGGCCTTCCCCTGGACATGCTTCATGAGGTCCCCATCTCTCCTGTACTGAGGACTTTACATCTGGACACAAAATGTTTTGCCACTAATATCAGCAGAGACAAGGTATCTTACTTCCCTCCTAGCTGTTTTCCAGGCCATTGAGTCAAAGGATTATACTCACGTCACCTATTATGCTATCCATACTGATCTAGTTTCTAAACCTACAGCCGTGCACAGCACAGCCTGCAAATCTAATTGGAGCCTATCATCACAATTTCGAGTGCAAGCAGCCATTTAGGCATTAAACAAATTGCTATTTACAAGCAGATGTGCTCACTTTGAAGCGTGTGAATTACACAGTACCTCTTTGATTATACGGATAGATTAATTAGGACATTTGCCAGTTACTGCATGCTGCCAGAGGCTGCTGGCCTGGACCACCTGTCTTTTTGAACACCTCTGTTTGAACAACAAGCAATTTGTTAAAATAGGAAGTTTTCTTATCCAGAAAAGGTGATGTTACTTTTTAATCAAAACACCAACTTTTCTTCAATACAGAAATTTGGAACAGAATATAGCAACACCACGCTATAAATGTTTTCATCAGGTCATCGAGGCTTCCTTCAGATTTCTGTCAATACTTCCACTGCTAAGATTAACAGACCTAAAATAACATACTGTACGTAACTGATTTAAAACATTTAAAATGGGACCATGGTTGATGTAAGGGAAACCTTAGATCAAGCACGAGAAACATACTCAGTACCCCAGGTTATTGAAAAGCTGTGGGTCATAGAGATGAGTGTTTGCACCAAGCACAGCCCTTACTGTGTTGAATTTCCTACATTGATAACAAGTCACTTAATGCCCAAAAAATGCCTTTCACTGGAATTCTAATCTAACAAGATGGTAAAATCTTGCACAATCTTATACACAAGCTGGGCTTCTTCATGGGGATTCACATCGATGGATGATTCCACCAGGTAGGCAGACCAGAAGGTTCTCATGTGAGTGACCCAGGCTCTCCTACTGAACCTTCCTTACATCCCAAAAGCCCAAGCAGTTTTGAACACAGTTATATCTATTCTGCTTTTGGTGGCACCTTCCCAAGTACCAAAATTCTTTTGGCACAATTACATGTAGAAAAATTGTTACAGTAACAGGAAAATAACGTAGTCAAATCATTCTTATAATAGATACACAAGTCAGTCAGATCAGGCTTCTAAGGACCATCGTTTGTGCATATTAAAATACTATTTTCCAAGCAATTGGATTGATTTACACGACTAATCACTAGACAGTGTTATTTTGATCCTTAAAGATGTACCACCACTGCCTGGGTCTCCTCAGAGCCAGAACTAACACTCTCACTGACCTTAGGGAAAGATAACTGACTTCAGTTGTTTAACATACATGCCTATTTTGCATAGATTTTTGTTTTCTCCAGGGCTGCATTTGAGTGCATGCTTGACATACAGTATGTGGTGACTTATCCTTCCTTCTAGTATAGATTGACAGTGTCAGAAACCTGTAAGTAACTTATGTATATCCCAAGAACACACATGTAAGGTTGAGGTCTCAATCAGGAAAATAAGCAGTAAATTGATCAAGGTAAGTATCAGCCACTCCATGATCTCTTCAGCAGTCACAAACTAATACGCTCTCACCAAATTGCTTTTAGTGACATTTGTACTTTGGAAGCGTTCTACAGTGTAGTCCATCACAACTCTTTTGACAGTTACACCATGAAAACGGGCAGATCTACAAAAAGAAAAAAGCAAATAAAAAAACAGGATAGATGTTGCAAAGATCATCGAAGGCTGTCAGTATACTTATCAAAGTGGACTCACTGTTGCCACGTGTCATTTCACACCTCCTCACCTTTGCTAGCCTTAAGAAATATGGCAGCAAAGCAGCAGTAATGAAAACCATAGAGTGATGAGCACTGTTCATCAGCAGGAAAAACACAAAAGACATGAATAACAACACACCAATAAAGTTTTCAGAAGTGACTACTGATTTAGATTCACCTACTTCTGAGCGCTCACCAGACATACTTTAAACAGCTTAAATTTCAGGGAGTGCTAGGCAGACCAAGTATAAAAATGGTATCCTCAAATAAATAATAAAGATAGCCTCAAAGTATTTAGCAATAGCCAAAAGATTCATTGAACTGTTTTTGTTTGTTTCCATACATACCGCTACTGTTAATGCTCTGCTTGATCCAGTCCACAAAAACACCAACATTTGTGTATACTCCTGGGTAGCTCTTTCTTCCACAGCCCAAGCCCCAGCTAGTGATTCCATTAAGGGTGTAAAATCCTGAGCCATCTTTTGAAGGACAAACTAATGGGCCACCAGAATCACCCTGTACAAGGACAAAGGAATGTGGTTACCATCTAAAAGCACTCTTTAAGTTTTTAAAAGATAACTTTGGTAAAAATAGGTCTAAGCTGCTCACGTGTTTAGCCATGCATAAAACATGCCATATAGCATAACATGGCAACATGCCATGCTGTAACATGGTTTGGCACTGCACTGCACTTCCTGTCCTGCTTTCAGCTGAAGCAGAGTTAATAGAACAGTGCTGGTTATTTCTTGCTGAGCGATGGCTGCAGGTTGGATATGCCTGATCTACAGCCTGTTTGCAAGAAAACAGCTCATAGTGAGTTTTAAATACTCCTCTTTTTCAGAATCCATCTGGCTGTACTCCAAGTATTAGAAAGCCACTTACTGTGCATGAATCCTTGCCTTCTTCCAGAGGGAACCCAGCACAGATCATCCTCTGAGTCACTCTACTCGGAAGATTTATGTAATAGGTCTGACATGCTTCAAGCATCAAGATGGGAACTTCCAGCTGGTGCAACTTTTTATTCTTTTCCCTATCTTGAAATAAAAGACATTTTAGAAACTGGCAGAGGCATTAATGATACAATGTCCGCCTCACCTTTTACCACAAAGAATGATAAATATCTCCTATTCCCTTTGCTTTTTTCTTCTAGTACAGCACTCCTCTCCTATGCTCTCCTCTACGTATCTCTAGATTTTATACAGTATATAAATTATATCATTTATACAGTCTGCTTATTTAAGGCTTCCAGAAAACAGCTTGACTCTCCTCCTTTCAAACTGATTGCTTTATTTCTACTCATTTCCATGCAAGACCATCTGAACTCATGTAAGTGAAATCCAGGAATCCAAGAATCAAAAATACAGATAGAATTCATGTTGCAGCATGGAACAAACTATAAAATACAGACACAGTCTGCTCAACCCTCAAAATGGCAAAGACTACGTACCTTCTTCCTGTGCTCCCCACCCTGTGACAATGCATACGCTGGAGGGCTGAACCACTTCTTCCTTCGCAGGGAGACACACAGGATGCACATAGTGGTTGAATTCTAAGGGCTCAGCCAGTTGCAGTAAAGCAATGTCAGAGTCCATAGTGATCTTGTTAAAGCTCGGATGTATAATATATTGCTTTACTGATCTTTTCTAGGAAAGTAGGGACATTGACATTTGCTCAATGACTTGGGAATTTAAGCTGTTGGTTTTATAAATTTTCAGGATATATGCAAGATGCTTGAGGAGAAAGAAACATCTAAAAGCAGCTGTTGAAGTTACCAACTTCCTTACGTCAACAAGTCAAGATTACGGCTCTCAGATATGAATCAGGGAATGTGCAGGAAACTCCATTCAGCGAGTGTAGGCAGAGGCTCTTGGAAAAACATTAGTCCAGTCTGAGTAAACAGGAAAACTGTGCCCTTAGCCCTTATTATTTCTATCTTTGTACTAGAGACAATATACTCTTCACTCAAGCACCCTTTGGGATGCCAAGGTTTAGATTTCATTACTGATGACTACACAGGTTTGTGTTGATACAAGTTCCCTGGCAGTCACATAAAAACTGTTGTGCAAGTGCAGATTAAGACCAGCATTCAGATTGAAAGACTGCTGCATCATAAGCAATCGGAGAGGTGCATTTACATTAAAAATAATTTGGCAAGATTTATTTTCATTTTATTATTAGGCTGAACCTTAATTACCTGTCTGTATTCTTGCTCTGTAAGATCATGAATTCCTGTGACCACCATCCATAAGTTTCTGAAGAGTTCCCTCAAAAGAAAAAAGAGGGGGAGGAGGGATAAATACATTCTCAGGCTGTTATAACAACATTCCTAAAATGCAAGACTCTTATAATCTCCCCCATCCAAAATAAGGTTGAAAGCCCTATATATTCCTGGGCTAACATTCGCATGAAAATCTATGGAAATCTTCTTACTGACTTCAAGAGAGCATGAAACATTCTCGTGATGAGGCCATGGCATCCCTCAAACAGTGAGGTAAGAGAAAGATCAGGTTCATAAAGACTGAAGCTGCCTGTTGCAGAACTCAACGCCTCCACATCGTGGCCAGCACCATTCCAGGGATGGTGCTGGTTTCTATCATAAAGAGAAAAATAGATAACACTTAAAGCACAATAACTCATACCATCAAATAAATGATATGAACAAATGCAACAGAAATATTTCATCCTCTCTTTTCATAACAAAACCCTCTCACACATTGAAAGGTGTCGTAACTCACTGATGAAATCACATTAAGCCACATACACAAATTCTGATGTGATTGCAACATGCAATAGAGAAATCCTCCATACTATGGCTCTTAAAGCCATACTTTCACCACACTACAATAATGCTCTTGACAATATTTTGCAAATTGATATTTAGAAACCTAAAAGCCAAAGTCCAAATTTCAAAACAGCATTTTCATTTCAAGTTCCAACAGAAAATAGAGATATCTGAGCATATTTGGCATCTGGGGCTTTTGAAATTTTACCCTCATTTTCAGTAATTGCAACTTACTTAAAAATTGAATCAGAATACTGAGTTACCATCAATCCTGGGAGGATTTAAAAAAAAAAAAAAAGGAAAGTTCAATGACTTAAGAGCCAAAGTATATGAAGTTTAAATTAATGTATTTATGATTCATTTGAAACTGGAAAAGAGTCAGTTCAGCCTACAAGAAGAATAATCAATTTGCATTTTAGAAAATATTTTAAAGAATCTGAAAGTCACACATAGTACCTTCTTGGCTTCTGTCCATAAAAACAGAAAAACATCCATGTGATCTGAACTAACAGATAGATAGCTTCCTAGTAAGGAAATAGCATCAACTCTGGGCACAAAAGCTTCTTCTGTGTCCTCTTAAAATCTTGAGGAAATAATGCTCCTTTACAAAGGATCCAGAGAGAAGTTCTCCAAGAATAATTGATGGATGACAAGTATCCTGACATATATTCTGCAGACTAATCTGAATGAAAACCAAGCCTACCAAGTAGGTTATTTCTTAGGTAGCCACACTAATCGTAGTACACGCGTATGGAGCAGAAGAATACTGTGCCAATCTCCCCGGGCACAAATATTACCCTGCAGAGATTCATTGTGTAATGCAGACATTCCCAGAGGATTCATCCAAGTGTACTTACTTAGAATTAAAGCAGTGAGCAGCTGTGACAACCCATTCTTTGGCAACAACTGCTCCTCCACAGATATGTTGATCTGAAATTTGTATGCTGACCTGCCAAGGCCATGAGTGTGGTACAGCCTCTTCACCTCCAATTATCCTACTGAAGATGAATCTCGGCTGATTTGAAGGCATTCCACAAACATCATCTAAAAAAGAAAAGATTAATGTCTCAAGAAGCTTTTTAGAGGTTAAGATTGATGAGGCAAAGAACAGCTCATTTATGAGCCACACCACAACTGCCAGGCTTCCCCCCCAATGCTTTTTTCTACATCTTTCAAATTCTCTCCTTAGAAATTACCCACATGTTTAGAGATAGCACAAGGAGTTGCTTTTTGCCAAAGGCGAGCATCAATGAGGTGAAAGCAACCTATGGCACTTCAAAAGTTTTAGTCTCAGATCTACAATGAATGCAAACATATTCCATTCTTCATAAACTACTAGAGGCAAGAACAAAAAAAGCTTTAAAACTTCAGTTATTAATTCCAGCTATCCTGCAGTCTTTGCATTCATCTTCCATAAAGCAGTGTGTATTTTGACTTGCAGGCTGAAATAATGTCATTGTATTGTTCTAAATAATTCAAGATGCTGAAGGAAACAAGAGAAACAGGTTCTGTCATTTGAAAGCTAAAACACAGAAACATTACTATGCATCTTTTTATTTCCTTGGCACGAAAATGAAACATCTTGAGACAATGCAGAGTGCAGTTCTGAAACATTTGGAGAAAATGGCATTTAAGTTGCAGTCCAAGAGGTACTTCACATTCCCATGAAGAAATAAGAATTCAGGTTGACTAACCTGCTGTAACCTGCAGTTCTTCCTCGGTCATATTCGTATTTTCAAATACTTGCACACCAGCAGAATCCAAGGTATCTAAATCTAACAAATGAAAACAGCAACTGTGTTAGCAGGCTGTCCCGAATAATATTTTTAAACTGCAAAATAATTTTTATTTCCTTTATAATCATTTCTGTGGAAGGAATAGATTTGTACCTGGGGAATCTATGTTAATACAACTTCACATGGTAGTAAAGAACCATTTAAAATGTACCGGAATACTTTACACAAAACCAAACCCTGAGGTTTGGGGGAGATTCATTGTTTTTTTTCACCCACTCATCTGATCCTCTGTTCAATCCTTCAGAAGATCACAATAAAGATTTTTTCACCGAAACAATGCATTAGGTGAAATCTCCTAGAGCAAAATCATTCTGAATATCACTATTCACTGCAGAGCCCTTTCTGCTGCCCTAGGGAGGCAGCCTCCCAAGTTACAGAATTCTATTACCTGTAACATGTACAAAAGTGATTGTAGCTCTGAATCCTTCAAAGTTCTCTGTTTCATCAGAGTGAAAGACAACCAGCATCATGGAAGAGGAGCTTAGAACAGGCGCTGGTAGGAGAAACCCACATGATCTAGCTAAAAACGAGAAAGCAAAGGTTCACACAAGATTAAAAGGTAGTTTTTCGTATTTACCTTTTTCAACAGTGCATACACAGAATGTGCATTCCAGTTGTTACACGAGAGGGTAAAACAAACCCAAAACTGTGCACAAGAGAGGGTCAGATAAGCCAATGGAGGCTGAACAATTGTTCTACTATTTCTGTCAGTTTGTTCAGTAATTATCTCACAAGAACAAGGAGACTCTTGGCATTATTTCACAAGATATTATGGCAGCACTTGTAGTCGTAGGTTGCCAGTGCATGTAGATTACATTGGAAACTTGGGTTTCCTTGTCAGCATTGAAACACTAACATCTGCCAGTGCTAACCTTAGTACCAGTATCAGACTTGAGTGGCACAAGTCTTTCCTTCTTTTGATGTAAGCCAAAGGAATCTCCAGCTAAGCATTGTATGAGAATTGCATGAACATTCATCTTGAGTGAAGAATTGGATGCTGAAAGGGTGAAGTCCTGGGTGCTTTCTGCCTGGCATCATTTATTTACTATAAAAACAAATGACAGCCTTATGCTTCTCCCCCCTCCATTTTATTTTTTAAATAGACATGAATTCAGATTGCATTCCATATAGAATGTAAATGCACACAACTGTTGCTAGATGACTTTTTGTCTCCATAAAAGGAACAGAAGAACCAATACAAGCAAGCACTTTCAAGGTACTGAAACTAGTACCTGCAGCAACACCTGAGACTCTGGAGGTAAATTTCAGTTTACACTGTAAAAGAAGGCTACTGAAAGTCACAGAAATAATAGGTCCCCAAAGTATGCCAAAATTAAAAGCCAAACCAATTTCCTCTTCTTTTTCCACATCTTCATACACAGTAACAGCATCATAAGAACAATCTTCACTCTCTTCTACTTCAAAAGACTGGTATGTAAGCTTTAAAAAAAAAAAAGAAGAAGAAGAAAGTGAATCCTGTTGAATTCACGAACTGGAATTCAAAGCTCTAAATAATGTCTTTAATAATCTCAAGAATTCTCTTAAAGTCTAATCTCTGTGGTGTTCAGGCCCCTCACATAACATTAAATTTGATAGAAGAAAGCATCATGGTAAAGTCTAAACCAGGAAATCCTATTTTACTATAACCCAAAGGAGAAGTCCAAACCTATCTGCCTTTTGGGACAGAAAGGGATTTCTCTCAAGTGTGTCCAACAGCATTATTCAAGCTTATGTTGCTGGATCTTGCTCGTCTTTAGCTGCACGCTTTCTTGTCAACTAAATGATGCCCACTTTCATTCCACAAACACAAGAAGGGCACATCCTTTACCTTTATTACATGGTCTTCTGGCGCACAAATAATCCATTGACAGTCTGCCAGATTGCTGTAGTGCTCTGGATAGTGCATACTTTGCAACACTCCTTCTTCAAAAAGGACAGCTAAGGACTCACAGCCAGAATCTAGAAATCCATCAAGAAACAAAAATTGAGGCACCTATTAAACTATTCACACATACAACAGGGAAAAAAGAAACCCAGAAAACCTCTTGTGGTGCTTTCACACAGAAATAGGAAAACAGCAGCAAGCCAAATCCTTCTGCAAGAAAAACACAACAAAATGTTTTCAATCTGTTCCCAGGCAGAAGAGACGTTCAATCGTGACTACAGCACGTCCCCTGTGATACAGGCAGTGTGCTGCAGAGTGAGTTACCTGTGTGGGAGTGATAGAAGTGCAGGACACAGGCACGTCAGAAGAACATTTGCCAATTTTATTTGGAAATGAAAGTGGAGGTATGGAATCAGCAGGTATGACTTTCTTGCTAAGCAGTGGCAAGTCCCCCCAGAGGGGATTCCTCCCTGTGCTTGCAGATCATAAAGGAATTAAACTGACTGAAAAAGCTGCAGAAGTAGAAACAACAGATGTCTGTTTTTGTAAGTACTGTCCAGACTCAGGAGATGACGCTTGTACCTGCCCCCTAGTGATGATAAACCACTCTGCAGAGCAAAATTGAAAGTAGCTTTCACTGGAAATTTAGCTATTAATTTCTAAAACTGTCTGTAAGTGGAGAAGGAAATTAAATCATTCTAGAGGATTTAGGGAAGAGGCAAAGTAACAGGAGGTTTTTTTTCTGAGCAGCATCTGTCCCTATCTCTTACTGGCATCTCAGTTTTTCCACAATGCCGCGCATCAGCCAAAGCACACTTACCTTGTTCACAATGGCATCTGCTTAGGAAAAATCACAGAAGCTTTCTTTGAGTTAGACTTACCAGGATGGATACGTGGTGCAAGAGCTTTATAAGTCATAGAAAAACCAGTTCCATGATCCTTGTTGTCAGAAACAAATTTCAGCCTTATATTGTCGGACCCAATCAAAATAGGCAATGGAAGATCTCCTCCACAGAATTTCCCTGAAACAAAATTTCAGAGAATAATCACTGTTTAAAGTCTTCACTCATTTGAGAAAACTCTGCTGTACAATTTTTAGCACTTGCTTATAAAACTTTGTAGCTGAAAAAGAAATCGTCTTTCTATTCCTATTGCCAATTAATCCGTTAGCACAAATAAAAGATGCACATTTAAAAATCCTTGACATCAGCAATCCATATGCTGACACAGTTCTAACGAATGAAAGGATACACTGACATTATTTTATAGAATAAAAACTCACTCACCAGCAACCAACAACTCACCAACAAGTCTGTTGTCTTTTGAATAGACTGATAAAGAATCATACTCGCAAAACGTTTCCAGCTCTATATCGAAGTGGGAAAAACGAAGCAATATATAATTTCCTTCTGATACAAACAGAGTCCATACACACAACCTGTAATGACAATGCTCCCATTCACAAAACTGGAATTAAAAACAACAACAACAACACAGGTACCAGAAAGATCTTCTGGTGAAATCTGTGTTTTGTCTACTCACTGATGGTTTTGATAGAACTGTTCAGAACTTCCAGGAAAATTTAATTCTCCTTCACTGTCTGGGAGCTTGCCATCCTGAACACTACAAAATGCTGCATTGTAGAGTTAGAACAAGAATCAGGTTTGACACATACACAATCCTCTGTTACACCAAACATCTAGATAATATTGTGGGATGTAAGACTGTTCATCTGTACCTTGTTTCTGATGGCAGAATTACGTTAGGTCTTCCCTCTCTTCTATTTGAAATGACAACAAGTCACTTTTAAATCACATAATTTAGAGGCAAAAGCCAAGCTCTGCCACTGTAAAAACAGTGGTGCTTTCTTATCACCTTAACAAAAGTATTTGTTAAATGATGATTTTGGTATCAGGATTTTTTGGACAGGAAAAACACATACCTCAGGATTATGCTTTTATTGCTGACCATTTGTAATAAAATTATTAGCTGTTTTGCAGCAGAACACTTTTGCAACAGTACAATAGGGGACTGGAGGAAGCAAAAGTGGTTTTCTCTGGATGACTACTGCTAGAAACCACAGATACCCATAAAATGTCTCCTCTTTGCCTTTCCTTCTCTTTGCCAAGGTAAGCCAGCAAGACAAAAACAAAGTACACACACGGAATTAAAATATAACCTCAGCTGTTAAATAAATTATATTCAGGAATAGATGAAAACAATTTTTTGTTTGTTTGTTTTTACATTCCATTCACAGAAATAGACACCAGATAAGTAGATAGATTCATCACAGATGAGCAGAAACTACTATCAATTTTACCTGATGTTTTCTGTTTAGAATCTGTGCTTTCATACACAGAACCAACATCATTAATTAGATTTCATGCATTGCTTGAGGTTCTGTCCTACATTTTTTCCCCATTAATTCTATTTGCATTTCAATAAATTAATGCCTTATACTTATCTGCCTTAAGGGAAATTCCTTTTTGAAGTCACCTGCACATATGCACTATCTTTCTTCAGGAAATTCCTTACTAAGCTAGAAAAAAACCCCTATGTATTTAAAGTATACATTTTAAAGTGTATTAATAAGTCATACTATAAATAGGTTTTTTTCTTCACAGATCACATATGAGATTATTTGAGAAGGCTGGTTAGATTCTAATGCAGATACAAAATGTTGAAAAAATACTACTCACGTGTAGAACTTTTCATTTTCAGATCTAGTGAAAGAGGGGTAGGGAAGGGAGTGAAAAAAAAAAGTGTTATTACAGTTTCTCACTCACAGTGTAGGCTTTATTTTAACAGTGTGAGATAGTAGGTTTATACAGCTAGCACTGATGAAAGTTTGAATTCTTGAGGACATCGTGCCTTCAGTAAACTATGGCTGAAATCAAAATTACAAGTTCAGCCAAAGCTGGCTTCTAAATAACCAACTCTAGAGAAGATACATCTAGAATTAATAATACATGTATAGGCCTCTCAGTCTGAGCAGCATTCTCTCTGTATATACCTGATGAACTACACATCTCAAGGTAGGGTAGCAGAATCCAACTACCACCTTATTACCAGGGACACAGAGATGCTAAGCCTGACTGCAGTAACAGTCAAGATTCTTTGCACCAGTGCTATGGTGTAAAAAAGTGGGTAGTGAAACCCAGCATAATGCAACTGAGAACTGACTGCCCATTCCATTTACCAAATCACTTTTGCTGCTCATTGGAGCCAATAATCTTCAGTTACTATAGTAATTTTGGTGTTCTTTGTTTTTTTTTTTCTTGAAAACTCAGTGATCCATTATTGTAAATTCATATAGAGAAGACATTGCCTTTCTCTTATTTTCCTTTAACTGAGAACATATTTTTCAGAAACTAAACCCTATTCATTTTTCTTTGACATTACGAAGGTCCTTTTTTTTTTCCTAATCATCAGTTGAAGCCAGTTTCTAGTGGGAGAAATATGAGTACTATATCTTGAAAACGGTAAAATTAAATGAAATATGATTATGAGACAGAAAAGCGACAGAGGTGAGAGAGAAATTTTTATAGAGACTCAATACCAGCACTCATATTTTCTTGAATCCAGTAAAGCACTGCACTGAGGTCTGTGAATATTCCAGGAGACCCTCTTTCATAATGTTTCTTCTTCTCATTACCTCTCCAGCCACGAGCACATCCCATCCCCCAGGAAATCACACCAACGAGAATCCAGGCACCGTGCTTACGTTGGCACAAGAGAGGACCCCCAGAGTCTCCCTGTAAGAACCCCCAAAACTCACAGGTCACAAAAAGAGCACGGGTACCACTGAGCTAGCCTTGAAGAGTTTGTTAAGTCATCTTTTGTAGTGTAGCAATAAACCTGCCACACAGGGAGAAGTCATTTGGAAGAAAAAAAGGAACAACCAACCAACCAAACAAACAAAAAAAAACATTAAAAAAAGACTTTCCTTTTTATTGTGTTTAGTCAGGATTGTGATGACAGGAGAGATGAATTTCTTTGTCATTTACTCATGACAAAAGGAGCAAGGAGACTGTTTGTTTTGTCATTTTAAAATTTTCCCAAGACAAGGAATCTTCTTTTTTTTTCCCTTGTTTTCCAAGGCAGTATTTTCTAACTTCCTGCATACTGCGCTAGGAACATTTGTTACTCAGTGTTTTTATCAAGTGCTTTGAAGTTTAAAAGCCCTAAACATCACAGCACTGGGATACATTGTGAAGTTGCTGTCAGGAACCTGTTGTGCAATTCACACAATAATTAAAATAGTTTCATGGAATTAAGTGTATTCTCCCATATAGATGCTTTTAAAGAATTCACACATCGAAATAGAATACAAAATTACATTTATTCACTTAGGCGCTTAGAAACTTGAGTTTCTGAGAAACAATTCAAGTACACAAGGCTCTTTGTTCAACTGACCTGGCAGGCATCTTTTCCTCCATCTGGAAATCCAGCACACAGTATAGTGTCACCTTGGATGGGCTTCTTTAAAGTTGACAATGCTGTTGAACATTCCCTACTATTTAGAATTGGTAGATTGACTTCATATAAAACCTGAGGGAGCACTCCATCTGGAACAAAAAAAAATTGTTCAAAATGAAATACTGAGTGGTGAACTTTTAATGTCACTGCTGATACACAAAGAAAAACACACTGAGAACTTGCTCCATATCTTCCTATGGCTATGAGCATGTTTTGATAAACATACAGTTTTGCATATACAAGCAGTTTTACTTGAATAAATTTCAAAGTGTCTCCAGCATAATATACAGGTCCATATATTTTTGTGATCCATTTTGAAACAGTTAACAGATAGACAGAAGCCCGCAGAGATTCGAATTTGAGATTATAAGCTTATTCCCAGTTGACAGTTACTTCTGGTCTCTGTACAGCTTATGCAGTCAAGCTCTTAACTTCAGAAATAAACACTGCATATTGGAACAGAGAGGATTCTAAAAAAAATATCTAAAATTCAGTAAGAAAATCTGACAAGAAAACATTCACTGATCTGAAGACAGTATCTGTATCTGCTTTCTATGCAGATAACGGATTTGCTTCACAATTCATTGCCCATTTTAAGAAAGGGAAGAACACAGGAATGAATGACTGACAAAAACACTGTGAAATCAGAATGTCAAAGAAAAATTCCAGTAACTTACTCTCTCTTAAACGGCCCCAGCCACAAGTAGTGCAGATATAACCCGCTTCAAATTTTTCACCTGGATCAGGAAGACATGCTGGCAAAACTGATGAACCTGCCATACATGACATTTCTTGATAACTATTTGAAAGAGCATCATCATAAAATAAATAAAAAAAAAAAGTAACAAAAAATCCCGTGTTTTATTTCTCACTTTCTAAAAAGGGAATTATTTCTATGGCATTTAAAACTTCATCTATCATTTGATAATTTATCTGTGCTGCTGCTTCTTTATTTTAGCCACAGATAAATATGATCTTACTGAAGTTGAAGGTTCCATCCAGCTTAAGAAGGGCTATGTCATAGTTCATCGGCCTTCGTGGGTCAAAGTTTGGATGTTTAATGATATATTTAACAGGCAGTGTCTGCTCTCCATTCTCCCTGATTCTTAAGTCATGCTCTCCTGCAGTGACGTTCAAATACTTGAGTAGGTTCCTGTAAGAATTGCAAAATAAAAATTCAACTACAGAATCTTCAAAATGAAAGGGAAAATGTAGTTGTTTGTAAACAGAAGAGTTTTACTAATGGTATCTAATACCGTTCATCTTCAGATTTTAGAGTATAATATGTGCAGTCAACACGAGTTGAATCAGCCCTACATTAGAAACTGGGAGGTACAAGAACAGTGAAAAAATCAGATTTGCTTCACTCCTATCTATATTTAAGTGATCTGCTAAAGAACGAGATCCTATTCTTGTGTTTAAAGTTGATTGATCACACTGCTTCTCCAGTGGAAGAAGTACAGAAAAAAATCTAAGACCACTTCTCTAGCATTCGCAGTTCATGTTTCAAAAATGTTGTGAATCCTGACTTCGGGTTCCTAGTACCAACTCAAAACATAGAATCATCGTAGAAACACAGAATGGCCTGGGTTGAAAAGGACCACAATGCTCATCCAGTTCCAACCCCCTGCTGTGTGCAGGGTCACCAACCAGCAGACCAGGCTGCCCAGAGCCACAGCCAGCCTGGTCTTGAATGCGTCAAGGAATTGAACGTCCACAGCCTCCTTGGGCAACCTGTTCCAGTGTGTCACCACCCTCTGAGTAAAAAACTTCCTCCCAATTTCTAATCTAACCGTGTCTCAGTTTAAAACCATTCCCCCTTGTCCTATCACTACCCACCCTTGTAAACAGCCATTCCCCCTCCTGTTTTTATGCTCCCTTCAAGTACTGGAAGGTAACAATGAGGTCTCCCCAGAGCCTTCTCTTTGCCAAACTAAACAAGTCCAGTTCCCTCAACCCTTCTTCATAGAAGCGGTGCTCCAGCCCTCTGATCATCTTAGTGGCCCTCCTCTGGACCCATTCCAAGAGTTCTGCATCTTTCTTGTACTGGTGTCTCCAGGTCTGGACTGAGTACTCCAGATGAGGCCTCACAAGAGCCAACATGTAGCAAGGAATCAAAAAACCAAACCAAAACAAAACAAAAAAATCAACAAGCCACCATGACAAATTTACTATTCTGCTTCAAATTTATTCATCAGTCTGATGACTTACTGTATTAAGAGGCTTCATAGTAATTCAGTTACTGCCTGTCTTTCTGCAGTTAACACAAGCTTCAGTTTTTGGGTAGTTTAACCAAGATGGAATCACATACCATGTCCAATAAAGATCAAATTTATAATTCCAAATGATTCATTAGTACAAAGTATTGGCTACAAGATCATTATAATCTCTGTGAAGGCACAACCAAAACCTTGCCTAGTTAATTATTTTTTTTTAGAGCATAGGCTGAATTATCAGTATGCAAGAGATCAGTACTTGACTATTCACCATTTAATTGAATATATAATGCCAGCTTCTACCTCTGAAAAAAAATATTGTAATCACCTGATAATCTTAAGTAGGTTATCATGATATTAGACTTCTATAGGGGGAGGAATAATTCCATGCACCAGTACAGGTTGGGAGATGAGCTGCTGGAGGGGAACTCTGTGGAGTGGGACCTGGGTGTCCTGGTGGACAGCAGGTTGGCCATGAGCCAGCAGTGTGCCCTTGTGGCCAAGAAGACCAATGGGACCCTGGATGCATTAAAAAGAGCATGGCCAGCAGGTCGAGGGAGGTGATCCTCCCCCTCAACTCTGCCCTGGTAAGACCTCATCTGGAGTACTGCATCCAGTTCTGGGCTCCCCAGTACAAAAAAGACAGGGATCTCTTGGAAAGAGTCCAGCGGAGGGCCACGAAGATGGTGAAGGGCCTGGAGCATCTCTGCTATGAGGAAAGGCTGAGTGAACTGGGTCTGTTCAGCCTTGAGAAAAGAAGGCTGAGGGGGGACCTGATCCAGGTCTATAAATATCTGAGGTGTGGGGGGCAGAATGGCGAGGCCAGACTGTTTTCAGTGGTGAGTGGAGACAGGACAAGGGGAAACGGCTGGAAACTGCAGCATAGGAAGTTCTGCACAAATGTGCGAAGGAACTTCTTTACAGTGAGGTGACGGAGCACTGGAACAGGCTGCCCAGGGAGGTGGTGGAGTCTCCTTCTCTGGAGATGTTCAAGACCTGCCTGGATGCCGACCTGTGCGACCTGCTGTAGGGAACCTGCTTTGGCAGGGGGTTGGACTCGATGATCTCTGGAGGTCCCTTCCAACCCCTACAATTCTGTGATTCTGCGATTCTGTGATCTACAATTTCAAAATCAGTTTCTATCCAAATTGAAAGGCCATTTATTCTTATTTATGGAATGTTCAAAAGTACTTCTCCCTTCCTGATAAAAAGTGGAAAATACTAGTTACAAATGAAAGAGCAGCATCCATGAGCAATCTCCAGAAAAAGACACTACATTATACAAGCTTTTACACTCAACGTTTTTTTGAGCCTGCAGCCTGCTCCACAATGCAGTGTGATCCATGGATCGCATCCATACCTGTCTGTGACGCAGTGAGCTGCCGTGACCACCCACTGAGCAGAAACAATGGTGCCTCCACAGAAATGCTTTTCTCTTCGTTTCAAGGAAACCTGTTTCACATAAAGACGACATGTTAAATACACAAGATCTTTACATCTGCTTTGACTGCACTTGAGAAAGAAAGGACAGAGTTGTGTACGCAGGTATTCTTTAAAGATTCACATAGCTAAGGTTCATGCAGCACTTCAGTCAAACAGATTTTGATGGCATTCTCATGTTCCTTGGGCATAAGTGATTCTAAACTTTGCTGTCTCCCTTGGTTGTGACTTTGTACCTGGATAAAAACAACATGCATGTAATAGATACCAATTCACTGAATTACTCAAGATTGTGTAAAGGTTACCAGTAAGTTGAGAATTTTTCCTTTGTAGGTCACTGGGCAAATCAGAGCATGAGAGAGCCTTTGATGTTTATACCACAGTCTTTATCCAATTCATTCTAAACTGAAAACTCCAAGCTTCGTGAGGTATTCCATCTTCCAAACTGCAAGTCTGTGATCCTAGACAATGGTTGGGGTGCTGAGGTGCTCTTTTATTTCTGACCAGTTTCACTCGTGCCTCTTTACACAGCCTAATCTAAACACACTCTTTTCAGAACTAATGATGAAATAATAAATGATAAGCAAAGGCTTGTCATAGATCATAACAGATCTATATCCTCTCTGCTCCACTGAAAAACAGAGCAGAGCTCAGTGATACATTCTAAGTGGAAATAAGTACAAAGTATAACAAAGTATAACGGTTTTCTTCTTTTCTCATTTCTGTAAAAACAAAGAAAGAAGGGCTTTGTTCTGAAGATAAAACCACATTTTCTTCTGCAAACCTGCCATGGATGTGAGCCCTGTTTCACCTGGTTCCCCCCAACAATCCGAGTGAAAAGGTTAAAGTCACTCCATGGTCTTGTCTCACGAACTTTCTGCCCGCACTTAGGATCTGAGAGGTAAAAACAAGAAAAAGAAGGAATGATTTAATCTAGATTTAATTTTTTCCACTTTTGAGCAAAATACAATTGGAAGACACAGCCTGAAACATAGGTCAGGTGCAGTGCCTCTACTAGGGCAGGAAGCACAGTTTATAATGAGCTGCCCAGCCTAAATCCACACTTGGGATAAGTCACTGCACTGCCATGTGCAAATATGAAGTGAGGAAAGAAAAAAAAAGGACCACAAGACAACATTTTTACAGAGATTTAGCTTGTACCAAAAAGAATATGGTCCTGTGTTTAAAAATGGGGGAAAAAAATAAAATCATCATTGGTTGGATGAGAAATTCCTATGTAAGCTGTATCAGTTTCACCTGTATGGCTCTGTAATGAAGCAAGAGAATGTTGCACGGACAGACATGCTGCTATATGTTGGACTGCTGAAATGAGTAGATTATAATGCTTTAGATACCATATCTGTTTTGACAGCCAGAATAGAATTCTGCAATGAAGAAAGTGGTCTGCAGAACTTAGGAAGGAAATCAAGCTGCAAATCTAAAATGGAAGCATAAAATCAGTGCTTTCTTTTCTAGTTTGCTGTAGATCAGTAATTCTTCACAAAGGAAAGAGAACAATTGCAATTTTAATAATTTTGCCAAAATGAAGTATATTCTGGATCTTAAGATCTGAGACAACGTAAGGAAAGACTCATATTTCATTTGCATCCCACAGGTAACTTGCCAAATTAGGACCTTCATTAATCTGTTGCAGTTTTGAGAGTAGTTAATTTGGTTGTTTATAATTCATATTTATTTTACTCATTCTGAATCATCAATAAATCAGTCAGAAGTTGCTTGAAAATTACTCATTAAAAATAACATTACTTTACAGACTTGGAATGGAATAAAACCAAGGAATTAAAAAAGAGGAATGGAATGAAACCAGGGAATTAAAACCATACCAGTTATTCTAACACTACCTTGTACTTCATCTACCACCGCTCAGGATCAAAATCCCATTGGGTGAAACTGTTGCAGCTCCTTTGTTTCAGCAGTCACTGCTGTCATTGCCTACAAACAAAACCTTTAGCGTGTAGAAAATTGTTAAAGCCAGATGTGAAACTTTGATCCTACCTTTCTGAAGAGTGTATGATACAGCACGGGACTCTGTAATACAAATAACCCCCATGAGGAGTAACAGCAGCTCACTGTTAGTAATGCACATCTTGGGGTTTGAAGTGACAGTCTGAAAACAAGGAGAGTTTTTATAGTGGCAAAGAAGCCCAAATATTGCAATGCAGGAGAACATCAACTAATTGAGGTAGAAGTTACTCATTAATCCAGCCATAGAGCACTTGACTGCATAAGTAAGTTTTTCAAATGTAACGAAGCATGATTCTTTCATAAGACTTAATTCATTACAGAAGTCTTTGCTGTAAAATACCAGCTAAAATTCACCCCCCTCCCAAAACTAGGAGTTTGTTTTTCAAACAACAGAAGTAGATATTGTGTGCTCTGCTAGCAACACTTAACCAGGCTGACCTAAACACAGAAAAACACATGTGAACAAAGTATCGATTGATATTTGCCCCAACAATTTCTATAGCTCCTGAACAGGCAATACTTTATATTTCCTGCATACTTTATATTTAGCCAATTTCTTAGTCTGAGAAACACAACAAGAGATTGTAATTTGGTTGACAGCACGCTGTGTTGTATGAGACACACAAATAGCTCTTGCTGTACAAAGATAGCTCTCTGCGTCACAGTATGTTTTTTTTTTCTTCAGAGAAGCAGTGTTATCTCTCCTTTTTTAAAAGCGATTAAGGAGGTCAGGGCTTAGCTTTTTAAAAACGTTTCAATATTTCAGTATTGCTGCAGTCAGCAGCACCAGTTCCAACTCACTTGGATGACTAAGTTGCATTTTAATAGCAAATTAAGTGCAAGTCTCCTAGAAGGCTGTCTGAATCCTAAATAAAGAACAAACTAGCAGTTACAGTCAGAGATTTGAAATAGAAACCATAAGATAACATACCTTGTGAATTTGCCACTTAAAAGTTTTGTCTCATCAGTTTTAGAATAGGATAACAGAAACCAACTTTTACCCCAAATAAGCAAACTCATAGGAAGCAACAGAATACAAAATCTGTCATGGAAAACATTGCCTCAAATCCCCAGTATCAGTTCTGTATACTGCAAAGTTCTCTGATTATCCACCACAGTGACATCCCTTGGAATGATGCCATCCAACAGGATGATGTGAAAGAAAGAAGAAAAAAATCTCAGCAATGATGCTGTGCAAACAACACCTGTCTGATCATTGATAAGAAATACAAACATCTGGTCCACTGGCAAATGCAGAAACAATCATTTCATTTCAAATTTATGGCAGAGAGGCAACACTTACTGTGCAGCAGCCCAGGAGATCAGGAAGAAAAAGCACAGAATGGCATGTTCTGTACAACCTGTCTCTTGCCTGGGAGACAGGCTTTCCTGTCTAACTATTCTTTGTTCTTTTCATTTTATTCTTTTTAATCTTTCTCCCCCTGAAGCTATCTTCACACAGTATGCACAGACAGAGACAACAATGATTTACCTATTTCTCTCACTAGCTTGCTTCTGTTACTCCTAAAACTCACAGCTTTGGCAAGCAGCACTGCCAGCATCACTCCTGAAACAAAGGCAAAGGTCAAATCTTACGACAATCCCCAACCACTCACCTACTCTGAATCCCAGTGTAGGGCTGGCCTCGTCCTGTTAGCAGCTCATATCTTTGCACATAGGTTATTCCAAAAATAATTTATTTCCATGGAAATTACAACAGATACAAAGAGCACAATAACACTATTTGATAGAGCAAATTCATCTACAAAACATTTTTCAATATAGTCACCATCACTACCTACGCATTTTTGCCAGCAATGAACACAAGCCTGCATGTCATGCTTGTAAAAGTCTATACCCTTGGAGGTGACCTATCTTCATCATCACCACTGTTGAAACACCCAGTGTGTCACTGCACTCACATTCACTGGTTGGTCTCTACAAATGTAGAGATAAATATTTTAGAGTGTTGATAAATATCAATGGGTGACATTTCTTCATGCATGAAGGAATTCAATTCTACACCTTTGCTTCATTCACACTTCCATGTCAGTGCCATCTGTCACACAACAACATGTAACAGAATACTGGTGGGAAGGTTCTAGTTCTACTGCCATACCACCAACATCCACCTCTGGCATCATGGGCCAACACAATAAAATAGGAGGCATTACTTTCAGAGGGGCCCTTGTAATTGAATACCTTAAGGACCCCTTTGCTCTTCACCGCTGACAAGACCAGAATGAAAAATGTGTTTTTAAGGTTCACTGATCTTCTGGACTTGTTACAAGGCCACTGCTAGAAAACCAGAAAACCTATTTATTCTATAAAATTAATAATTTTGTATCTTAAAAAAAACATAATTGATTAAATATTATGCTTTATAAACGCTTTCATATATATACATTTATGAATCCAGTAGTTCCTGGGAAATAGAAATCTAGTGAAAGCAGTTTTAGTTTTAATTTAGTTTTAATAGGGATTAAATTATTTAAATTTTGATAGTTTTACATTAATTTCAATTTTCAAACAAATTTATTTTATACCAATTTAGATCTACTGTAATTCCAATCACTTGACACATATTATGCCTCTTTCCAATGTAACAAGAAAATCCAGTTTAACTCTCACAATTCTAGCATTTTTGTAAAACCAAGAGGCATTTAATATGCATACAAAGACCTGAAAAGAATAATAAAAGAGATCATTCAATTTTAATACACTTACAAACAAATTACACATAAAAACAGACACACTGAGAATGATTAACTTTACGTTCGCTTGTTTCAGACTAAGACTTCATCTTATTTCAAAGACCATGCATTGGATGGCAACAAGCTCTTTCAGAAGGGATAGAGGAGGAAAGAGGGGTGGTGGTGTGGCCATTTGTATTAAAGACTGTCTTTAATATGTTGTTGAAGAGCTTGGAGTTCGGAATGACAGAGTTGAGAGTCTATGGGTAAGGATCGTGGGAAGGCCTGTAGAGGTGACATCTTGTAGGGGGTCTTTTATAGACCACCTAATCAGGATGAAGCGATGGATGAGGCATTCCATGAGCAGCTTGCAGAAGCCACACAATCTCCAGCACTTGTTCTTGTGGCAGACTTCAGTTTCCTGATGTATGTTGATAATATAACACAGCACAGAGGAAGCAGTCCAAGAGGTTTCGAGAGCGTGTGGAAGGTTGCTTCCTAATGCAACTGGTAGGAGAGCCTTCCAGGGGTGTTGCCCTGCTAGATCTGCTCTTCACTAACAGAGAAGGACTGGTGGGAGATATGAAGATTGAGAACTGTCTTGGGCAGAGCGACCATGAAATTGCAGAATTCTCTATTCTTGGAGATGTCAGAAGGGTGACCTGCAAAAGTACTATCTTGAACTTCCAGAGGGAGGACTTTTACCTGTTCAGGACACTTGCAGCACGGGTCCCTTGGGAGTCACTTCTTAAGGGTAAAGGGGTCCAGGAAGCCTGGACATTCCTCAAGATGGAAATCTTAAAGACACAAGAACAGGCTGAATGTCATAAGGAGAGCTGCAGGAGAAGACCAACGTGGGTGAGCCGAGAACTAGTGTTGAGACTCTGGAAGAAAAAGGGAGTTTATGTCCTCTGGAAGAAGGGACAGGCTGCTTGGGGAAATTACAAGGAAGTTGATAAGGTATGCAGGGAGGAAATTAAGAGGGCAAAAGCCCAACTTGAACTCAGATTGGCCACTGCAGTAAAAGAGAATAAGAAATCCTTTTATAAATATACCAACGGTAAGAGAAGAACCAAGGAGAATTTCTATCCTTCACTTGATGCATCAGGGAATGTGGCCACTGAGGATAAGGAGAAGGATGAGGGCCTCAACACCTTCTTTACATCTGCCTTTAATAGGCAAACCAATTAACCTCCTGGCATTTTACGCCCTGATCTGGAAGCCTGGGATGCTACTCAGAATATACCTCCAGCGATTCAGGTGGAGACAGTCAGAGAGCTCCTTCTCCACCTGGACTGTCACAAGTCCATGGGACCGGATGGGCTGCACCCTCAGTGCTGAGGGAGCTGGCGGGGTGATTGCCGAGCTGCTCTCGGCCATCTATCAGCGTTTCTGGTTAACTGGAGAGGTCCTGGAGGATTGGAGGCTCGCTGATGTGACTCCCATCTTCAAGAACAGCCATAAAGAGGGTCCAGGGAACGACAGGCCTGTCAGCCTGACCTCGGTACCAGGAAAAGTCATGGAGCAAATCGTCTTGGGTGCGATCACACAGCATGTATGTGGTGTCCAGGGGATCAGGCCCAGCCAGCATGGCTTCATGAAAGGCAGGTCGTGCTTGACCAACCTCATCTCCTTCTATGACTGGGTGACCAGACTGGTAGATGAGGGAAAGGCTGTTGATGCAGTCTACCTAGACTTCAGCAAAGCCTTTGACATGGTTTCTCACAGGCTTCTCCTGGGGAAACTGGCTGCCCGTGGCCTGGACAGGTACACCCTTCTTTGGGTAAGGAACTGGATAGAGGGCTGTGCCCAGCGGGTAGAGGTGAATGGAGTGAAGTCCAGCTGGTGACTCGTTTCAAGTGGTGTCCCCCAGGGCTCGGTACTGCAGCCCATCTTGTTTAATATCTTTATTGATGACCTAGATGAGGGGATTGAGTGTATCCTCAGTGAGTTTGCAGATGACACCAAGCTGGGAGGCGGTGTTGATCTGCCTGAGGGTAGGGAGGCCCTTCAGAGGGATCTAGATAAGCTGGATCGCTGGGCTGAGGTGAATGGGATAAGGTTCAACAGGGCCAAGTGCCGAGTCCTGCACTTCCACTTCCAGGGCTACCAGCTGGACGACTGTGAAGAGGAAAGGGACCTGGGGCTGTTGGTTGATGCTCGGCTGAACATGAGCCAACAGTGTGTCCAGGTGGCCAAGAGGGCCAACGGCATCCTGGCCTGCATTAGAAATGGTGTGGCCAGCAGGAAGGTGATCATCGCCCTGTATTCAGCACTGGTGAGGCCACACCTTGAGTACTGTGTTCAGTTCTGGGCCCCCACTACAAAAAAGGCACCGAGGCCCTGGAGCATGTCCAGAGAAGGGCAACAAAACTGGTGTGAGGGGTCTGGAGCACAAGTCTTACAAGGAGCACCTGAAGGAGCTGGGATTGATGAGGAACTGTGATAT